TATTTTTTCGCATATTTTTTCATATATTTATGGGGTCAGTTAAGCCGATGCACGTCGACCCATACGGATCTTTTGTGCTTAAAACTTACTTACTTTCAGGTTTATAATATTATCTAGATAAATAGTGAAAATGAATTTGTTTGTATGTTACCTCTTAAACCCATAACAAGTTAGCTTATTTTTTTTTATGAAATAGTGACCCTACATGTGCTATAGGTATACATAGGCGGAACAAAAGTAAGGGATGATAGGTGAGAATAAAGGTCAGTTGGTCCAACGTGATGAATTTAATAATTATTAAAAAAGACGGTTTCCAAGCGGAATCGCATGGAGGTTGACTTGATGGGGCATATATCTAGCAATGACTGTCAGTTAGACCCCATTTATATAATCCCTTCCCCCCAACATCATGGAATTGCATATTTCTATCTTGAGTATTATCTGTTATGTATGGGACGGGATAAACTCATCTACAGCGGTGGCAGACAACAGGCAAGACTCATTATGGGTGCCCTAACTGGACATATGCCAATAAGGCATATACTACACAAGATGGATCTATCTTCGGACACACTGTGCAGACTGTGCGGGGAGAAATCGGAATCCATGGAACACTTGATGTGCAACTGTGATTCGTTGGCAAGTATGCGTATGAGTCTACTGGGAACGGCTTATCCAGAACCAGGGGACTACAGATATCTTAAACCGCGGGATATCGTTAGGGTAACACATAGGATCTATGAAATGATGGTATAAGGCAGGGGGAAGCATAAAAGATCCATATGGGTCGACGTGCAGCGACTTAGCTGACCCCATATACGAAAAATAAGATCTGTTATGTATACCACATAATGTCCAAGATAAAAATGTAACATTTATATAATAAATTCAAAAATATATTCAAGATATATGGGTAGTAAAAAAAATTACAGGCACAGATAAAATACTTTTTCTTATTTTACAGGCGAGAAACCTCACAAGTGTCCAGAATGTGGAAAATGTTTTACCGCTAGTTCGAATCTGTACTATCACCGAATGACACATACCAAGGTATGGAATCGTCTATATCACGGTCATCCACCGTGCGTTTTTCAAGGTACTTTCTTCCACGAGTTTTGTTTCGAAAAAACTAGTTTTAATTTATTGACCAAACTTGGCTGAAATGATAATGTTATATCCATAATAAAAATTGATTATTTTTGCAAGGGTGGGCTATAGCGTTGAAATAACAGAAATACCTGTATATGCAATTCAAGTGGAATGGTGTACCTACATAGTGGAATAAAATAGAAAATATTTTTCTCAAACATGCTTGGAAATGTGAGCATTATTTTGACAATTTTCTTCGAGATAAATCAAAATTGCCGTACTGGTCAGATACATGCGGGCAGCGGCCGGCAAAAATTGTATGAAAATCCATATCTGTCGTGTTTTCCGGCCAGATAAATTATATAATTAAATTATGTAAACTCATATCTGTCCTGTAATTTAAAAATGGAATGACCTTTTACTTCGAAACATGACTACCAAGGAGGTAACTAATAAAAAGTTATATTTAAATTTCAAACTGGCTTGCAAATATAAAGCTGTTTATTGAAAAAAAAAAACAAAGGATCATTATGGCGCGTGAAAAATTATTATTGTTCGTTATTTGTCATTGAACTTAAAAAGTAAAATTGTGTTTTTAATTTCCGCGCATTGTTTGAGAATAGTACTATACAAGCCTTGGCCACAACTAGGCATTGATGGACTCACGCATGTGTGCCTCGGCTACGTCTCGGCCCACATTTGCACGTTCGTCCATCAATGCCACAATTGCTGGCCGCTGCAGTAATGTACTATATCATAATTGGTTAAGTAGGTTAACCTTTAAATTAAAATATTGGTCATGCCACAATTGGAGTCGGTTTTTCTTTGTAGGAAGTGTGGGTAATCTTATTTTGTTTCCATATGAACATCAGAACAAGCCACACAAGTGTACGTGGTGCCCGCGCTCGTTCCCCACGCCGGGAGAGCTGCGCGCGCACGCTGCCAGCCACGCGGCCGGCTGGCACCGCGCCGTCCTCACCCGCCGCACACATGCGGCCTACTCACCGTCTTAAGTATTAGGTGATTAGTTTTTTATGCAACTTAAAATGGTAAAATAGCTGACGGCCCACCTAATGGAAAGTGGTAACCGTCACCTATAGACATGAACAGTACCATAGGCGTTACAGAGTATACTGTGTCGCCCATGATATGCTGCATGAAAATTGGAAATGATTGTTAGGAATGTGGACTACCAGTCCCATTCCCATTGCTAGCAATATACCCTGTCAGGTCGACCTCTAGGTGGTTTCCCCTGGACACCATCGTGCTGAATTCCAGATATGTGTTCATCACGATGGGCTATCTGACCTGCCTTTTCATCCTCACCTATCGTACCTCACTGTTGCCCCGCCAGGCGGGGTTACCATTCCATTTACATCCATTAAAAAAGACATACCCTGCATGCGTTACCATACCTGAGGATTATGGTATTATGCCTCTGTGCCCAGTTATTACATTGCCCTTCAAACCGAAACACAACTGCTTCATGAAAGAAATTTTATATAATCTTATTTTACTGTATGTTTCAATAAAATCTATTGAAAACGTGACCACTTGGTCGTACCAAATTTACCCCACTAGGGAAAAAAGGTGGAATTTTATTCCACCTACCTCCACTGGTAGAGATGAATGGAAATTCTTTTCCACTGACCATCATTCAAAAAAAAATATCAATAGGATAATGTGGCATATTTATCCCACTTATCCCTACTAGTCGGCCAATGATAGGGACAGCTGGAAAAAAATCCACTTTTATCTCACAAGAAGGAAAATTGGCCAGGACAAGTAGACCTGGCCCAATGAATAAACAGATTTTTTATTTGTATATATTATTGGATATTAACAAACAAGGGTCCTCACTGGTACACCGCCAGCATAGGCTGATGACCAAAGTCATCTTTTAATTATATTAATGTATTTCGTACTTAACAGGTCTGATAATTCTACTATTGCTCAAGAAACTGAGAAGAAACACAATGGCGCAGTGAAGCTGATTAACCTATTCTAGTCAAGTCCATTTGAATTTGTGTAAAATAGCACGTATTGATAGATAAATATAATTGTAAATAAATCAATACCAAATAAATTGAATCAAATTCTTGACTAAACCCTCACAAAAAAATAATTTCTCACATTCTCTACACAATCACTCTAACATGGAGGAAAAGGGACTGTTAGTAATGGAGACTGAGAATCCCATTGCTAGCAATATACCCAACCAGGTCGACCTCCTCGCGGTTCTCCCTGGAAACTGTCATGGTTAATTCCTGATGAATTCATCATGATGGGCTATCTGGCCTGTTTTCATTCTCATCTATCACCCTTCACTGGTGCTCCGCCAGCGTATCCCGTTAGCGCAGGCGGGGTTACCATACCATTTTCACCCATCAAAAAAAATCACTCTAACATCTCACAAGCAGAAGCCAATAATTATAACGAGGTACTTACCTACATTTATTTAATTTTTTCAAACCAGAGAGAGACTGTACGAATCGTTTGCTTGGGTACCTCTGCCTTATACGCCTTTCTACCGTGAAGCAGTTGTGTTTGCATGGCCGTGTTTCGATTTAATGGGTGGGATATTAATTTGAATTTACAGGGTACAGAGGAATAACACCTGAGTCCTCAGGAATGGCAACGCATGGGGGGTATCACGAGCGAAACAGTATACTCTGTTATGTCCACAGTATTGCTCATGTCTATATGCGACGGTTACCACTTTTCATCAGGTGGGCCGTCAGCTTGTTTGGCATGCTAAGTTGCATAAAAAAATATATATAAAGCTAGAGAAATTATAGTCTCAATATAGTTTTATGTGCGTACATTTTGCTCAAAATTGGAACGGATAAAATATATACATTATACCTAAAATAACTACTTTGGTAGACATGAGTAACGTGGATACCAATCCGATATCTATAATTGCACAGATAATAACTATACTAATATATTGGGATCTTCTGGCCATTGATGGCGGAAAGGTCATCGCCCATATCGGTCGGATATTTATTTTTGTATATGTTCTGTTTTTTTTTTTTAATGGATGATAAGGAATTGTAACCCCACCCGCGCTATCGGTATACACCGGCGGGGCACCAGTGAAGAATGATAGATGAGGATGAAGTAGATCAGTTAGCCCATCGTGACGAATTCAACAAGAACTGTTCACGATGGTTTCCAGGGGAAACCACGTGGAGGTCGACCTAATAAGGCATATTGCTAGCAATGGGGCTGTCAAACTCCATTGCTAACAATCCCTTTCCCCCATGTTAAGTCTGTTATCCAATATTAGTTTTTGGATAACAGGCTTTTATCATATTTATTATTGGGCCATTTAATATTGTAACCAAGACTGATCTGTTTAAGAATATTGTGATTGATTGTAGCTTTGCAGCTTTTTATCTTCTATGTTTTTATCGATGTAAAGTTTTTGATAACCATTTATCCATCTATTTTTTTTGTTGTTTTTGTAAACCCAACTTATATTTGAAAAAAGCAACAGCTATTTCTTGCCCGTTCTCAGCTGAAATTGCATTTTGAACTGGGCGATAGATTCATAAAAAAATTATTTCATTTATCTATTACTACCCCATTAGGAATTACAGTCATGACCATATTCATGCATTCGCCGTGAGTGCCCCGGCATAGAATGGGCCGCCAATACCGTTCCCGTGGGTGTCGTAAGGAGCGAGTAAGGAAGGACGAAGCATGGGCAGCACCGTCCCTCTTAAAACATCTCTAAAAGCTAAACAGCGGTTGCCAAACCGCCTGCCAAAGCGTGGCAACTATTGGCAAAACTCCCTTTATGGGGAAGGCTTATGTCCAGCAGTGGACAGTTAACGGCTGAAAAATATTCATTCATACAAATATAACCGCAGATGGGAAATACAAATAGTACAAAATAAAACAAATAATAAATTACTATTTATTCGTCTTTATCAATCTTTTCTCCTTCCTTAACATCACCATCGCACTTCATATTATCACTCGGATCTTCTTTCTTACTCTTCTTAATCTCACCTTCACTTTCACTCTCTAGCTTTCTTTTTTCCCCACTCTCACTTACAGACACTGCTTTTAATGTAGCTTCTGTGTCTGTCTCCACAGGATCAAGCTTCACATCTTTTGTCACACTCTCTGTAATGCTTTCTTTCTTTATGTAATAATCGTTCTTTGAAGCTTGAGTATCGGAGGACGTATCTACCCTGAGTAGTTCTCGGAGCGCCATGGTCGCGTAGCAGCTTGACGGTAGCGACATTGTGAGAAGCAACGCCTTATATTCACCGTCTGAAAATTAAAGAGAATCCTAATATAAGACGGTTATCATTGAAAATAATAATTTGAGTGGCAAAAAGTATTTGCCACTAACACACTTATTATGTATTAAAGTCGGCGCGCGGGTTGCTGCAGCACGTAGTGCGGCGTGCGGCGTGCGGTGTGGTGCGTACTCACCGGGCGCGGCGGCGGTGCGCGTGCGGCGCGCGAGGCGGTCGCGGTCGGAGAGCAGCAGGTCGGCGCGCGGGTCGCTGTAGCGCACGGCGCGGTGCGTGCAGCACGTAGTGTGTAGTGCGGCGTGCGGCGTGCGGCGTGCGGCGTGCGGCGTGCGGTGTGGTCGCGGTCGGAGAGCGTACTCACCGGGCGCGGCGGCGGAGAGCAGGTCGGCGCGCGGGTCGCTGTAGCGCACGGCGCGTGCGGCGCGCGTACTCACCGGGCGCGGCGGCGGTGCGCGTGCGGCGCGCGGTCGCGGTCGGAGAGCAGCAGGTCGGCGCGCGGGTCGCTGTAGCGCACGGCGCGGTGCGTGCAGCACGTAGTGTGTAGTGCGGCGTGCGGCGTGCGGCGTGCGGCGTGCGGCGTGCGGTGTGGTGCGTACTCACCGGGCGCGGCGGCGGTGCGCGTGCGGCGCGCGAGGCGGTCGCGGTCGGAGAGCAGCAGGTCGGCGCGCGGGTCGCTGTAGCGCACGGCGCGGTGCGTGCAGCACGTAGTGTGTAGTGCGGCGTGCGGCGTGCGGCGTGCGGCGTGTGGCGTCCCCACCGGGCGCGGCGGCGGTGCTCGTGCGGCGCGCGAGGCGGTCGCGGTCGGAGAGCAGCAGGTCGGCGCGCGGGTCGCTGTAGCGCACGGCGCGGTGCGTGCAGCACGTAGTGTGTAGTGCGGCGTGCGGCGTGCGGCGTGCGGCGTGCGGCGTGCGGCGTGCGAACTCACCGCGCCCGGCGGCGGTGCGCGTGGGGCGCGCGAGGCGGTCGCGGTCGGAGAGCAGCAGGTCGGCGCGCGCTGTAGCGCACGGCGCGGTGCGTGCAGGTACTCACCGGGCGCGGCGGCGCGCGTGCGGCGCGCGAGGCGGCGCGTCGAGCAGCAGGTCGGCGCGCGGTCGGAGCGCAGCAGCAGGTCGGCGCGCGGGTCGCTGTACCGGGCGCGGCGGCGGTGCGCGTGCGGCGCGCACGGCGCGGTGCGTGCAGCACGTAGTGTGTAGTGCGGCGTGCGGCGTGCGGCGTGCGGTGTGGTGCGTACTCACCGGGCGCGGCGGCGGTGCGCGTGCGGCGCGCGAGGCGGTCGCGGTCGGAGAGCAGCAGGTCGGCGCGCGGGTCGCTGTAGCGCACGGCGCGGTGCGTGCAGCACGTAGTGTGTAGTGCGGCGTGCGGCGTGCGGCGTGCGGTGTGGTGCGTACTCACCGGGCGCGGCGGCGGTGCGCGTGCGGCGCGCGAGGCGGTCGCGGTCGGAGAGCAGCAGGTGTGGTGCGGAGGCGGGCGCGGCGGCGGTGCGGCGTGCGGCGCGCGAGGCGGTCGCGGTCGGAGAGCAGCAGGTCGGCGCGCGGGTCGCTGTAGCGCACGGCGCGCAGCACGGCGGCGTGCGGCGTGCGGCGTGCGGCGCGGCGCGGTGTGGTGCGTACTCACCGGGCGCGGCGGCGGTGCGCGTGCGGCGCGCGAGGCGGTCGCGGTCGGAGAGCAGCAGGTCGGCGCGCGGGTCGCTGTAGCGCACGGCGCGGTGCGACAGCGCGCCCGGCCGCACCACCACGCGTCGGTACGCACCAGACAGGCTCAACTCCCTGCACACATTGACAACCATCCATTACTACCCATTTCTCGCTATACCACTCAATCAGCATATAGAGTATCTTGTGTTAAAATGCAACCTACCCGTATCATCATTTCAGCCATAATCCGTCCACTACTGGACATAAGCTTCCCTCAAAGACTGTCATAAAGAACCGTCCTAAGTCCATCCACTAACTCCCTGCATTACACTTCAGATCTTCACTCCATCTAATTGGGGATCGTCCTACACTGCGTTTACTCGTACGCGGTCTCCACTCAAGAACCCTCCTTCCCCATCGGATGTCGGTTCTTCGAGCTATGTGACTAGCCCATTGCCATTTCAGCATGTTTATCCTTCGGGCTATGTCGGTTATTTTGGTTCTTTTGCGGATATCCTCATTTCGGATTCTATCACACAAAGAAACACCGAGCATATCCCTCTCCATAGCTCGCCGAGTAACTTGTAGCTTTTCCATACGGGCAATCGTGTAGGACCACGTTTCGGTTCCGTAAGTCATCACTGGCAACGCGCACTGGTTAATGACCTTCGTTTTCAAATTCTGAGGTATTTTGGAAGAAAAGATTTACGTAGGTTCCCGAACGCTGCCAAGCCGAGTTAGAATTGTCGGTTGACTTCTCAATCGAAGTTGGACTTACCCATTCGGACAATTTGTCCCAAGTATACATACTCAACGACAACTTCGAGCGTAGTGTTGTCAATCGTAATCGGTATAGGTGTGATATGGACGTTAGACATGATCGTAATCTTCTCCTTGTTTATTTTAAGACCTACCTGTTGAGAAACACCATTCAAGGTCATTGAGCATAGTATTCAGATTCTCCAGGGATTCCGCCATAATTACTATGTCATCGGCAAATCGAAGGTACGTGATGTATTCGCCAGTGATGTTCATATCATTTTCAGTTTAACAGTTTGAAAACATCTTCCATTGAAGCTGTGAAGTTTCGGGGATATGACGTCACCATGTTTTACACCTTTCTGCACTGGTATGGGTTTCATACTCTGGTTCTGTACTCGAATAGACATCGTAACATTACAATACACACTTCATTACTTCGATATACCTATAGTCAATCTGGCACCGCTGGAGGGACCGTAGTACCGCCCATATCGCGACCAAATCAAAGGCTTTCTCATAGTCCACAAATGCCATACATAGTGGCAGATTATACTTTTCGGTCTTCTGTATAATCTGCCGTAGTGTATGTATGTGTGGTGCTATAGCCTTTTCGGAAGCCATCTTGTTTGGGTGGCTGGAAGTCGTCGAGTTTGAACGTAAGACGATTGGTCAGGACTCTCAAAAACAGTACGTAGACACGATTTAGAAGGGATATCGGTTTATAGTTCTTCAGTAGGGTATTATCACCTTTCTTGAAGAACAGGACTACCGCACTTCTGTTCCACGCCTCTGGCGTAACACCGTTATGGATGACTCTATGTCTATTAACTTATGAGATGAAAACTCTATAAACTTCACACTTATTTCCCTAGAGACTACAGCATGAGGTTCTTCAAAAAGGACGTATTAACGTTTCTTCAGGGTCGGACACGCGCGCGTTCTTAATGTCACATCATCCTTTGAGTTATAGGCATTCATAGGGTATGGTAACCCCGTTGACCATCACACGAGCTGTATACTTGTCTGCCACCACAGTTATATAAAAAAACCTACTATAATTTTTAACTACCTGTTTATATATCAAAAACCAAAATCTGCTAATAATGAGATACTCAATTTTAATCGAACACTTACAAAGACATATTACAGTTAAGAAAAAACATAAGAAAATCTAACATAAAAACTTACTTGATTTTTTGTTTTAACTCAGTAGTTAATCCATCCTTCTGCAACAATTCTACATAATAGTCCTTCATGTTCGGCGGATACTCGATATTATACCCTGGAAGTGGCATAATAATGTCGAAAATCGTATACTTTCCACTTTCTATATCCTCTTCTGTAAGAATTTTTACAGGTATTTTAGGTTTTGTTCCCTCTTTATTTTCTATAGATTTATTGTCTTGCTCTGCACTATCTGACGTGCTTTCCATAGGATCCATAGGTTCCATAGTTTCTTCTTGAATATCTTCCAAATGTGTCTCTGAATCACTAAGATCCTCTCCGGCATCCTCTCCAGCATCTAATTCCTCACCGAGATCATCTGTAAATTATGTAACAAAATGCATACAGAATACTGTTTGAAATTCTAATCAAACTATGACAAGTCCCATTAAGTCTCGATAGTGTATTTAAAATTTAAGTCTGTTTCAGCACCTCTGATCGACTCGTATTTAAAACAGAAATAGGTAGTTGAAGAATATAATCCGTACCGAGTAGATGATCGCCCTCGCGGCCGTGCAGGAGGCACGAGGTCGCCGACGGCGGGTCGCAGCCCGAACCGGCGCAGTCGCTCCGACACGGCGCGGTTCCACACCAGCGACTGGTACGAGTGCAGGTACAACAGCCGCGTGTTGCGCGACAACTGTCAAGTTATTGTTCTTGTCACTGTCAAGTACTTGTGTTGTAGCTAATTATGGTATATTGTAGAAATTATTAAGTATTATAGAAATAATAGGATCTTCAACGTGCCTGCGATCAAATTGTATGTAATTACTTCTCTACATCCAAAGGTTGCCTGGAAGACATCGCTTTTAACAATAAGGTTGTCCATTGTTTTCTCACTGTGCGCGCATACAGCGCGCCGAGCAGGTCGCGCGGCGCAGTGGAGCGCGGCGCGCAGCTGTGTACGTACCGCGTGCAGCGCGCCGAGCAGGTCGCGCGGCGCAGTGGAGCGCGGCGCGCAGCTGTGTACGTACCGCGTGCAGCGCGCCGAGCAGGTCGCGCGGCGCAGTGGAGCGCGGCGCGCAGCTGTGTACGTACCGCGTGCAGCGCGCCGAGCAGGTCGCGCGGCGCAGTGGAGCGCGGCGCGCAGCTGTGTACGTACCGCGTGCAGCGCGCCGAGCAGGTCGCGCGCGCGCAGTGGACCGCGTGCAGCGCGCGCGGCGCGCAGCTGTGTACGTACCGCGTGCAGCGCGCGCAGGTCGCGCGGCAGGTCGCGGCGCGCAGCTGTGAGCGCGTGGCGCGCGAGCAGGTCGCGCGGTACGTGGAGCGCGGCGCGTGCAGCGCAGCGCGCCGAGCAGGTCGCGCGGCGCAGTGGAGCGCGGCGCGCAGCTGTGTACGTACCGCGTGCAGCGCGCCGAGCAGGTCGCGCGGCGCAGTGGAGCGCGGCGCGCAGCTGTGTACGTACCGCGTGCAGCGCGCCGAGCAGGTCGCGCGGCGCAGTGGAGCGCGGCGCGCAGCTGTGTACGTACCGCGTGCAGCGCGCCGAGCAGGTCGCGCGGCGCAGTGGAGCGCGGCGCGCAGCTGTGTACGTACCGCGTGCAGCGCGCCGAGCAGGTCGCGCGGCGCAGTGGAGCGCGGCGCGCAGCTGTGTACGTACCGCGTGCAGCGCGCCTACCAGGTCGCGCGGCGCAGTGGAGCGCGGCGCGCAGCTGTGTCGCGTGCGCGCGCCGAGCAGGTCGCGCGGCGCAGTGGAGCGCGGCGCGCAGCTGTGTACGTACCGCGTGCAGCGCGCCGAGCAGGTCGCGCGGCGCGCGCGGCGCGCAGCACGTACCGCGTGCAGCGCGCCGCGCGGCGCGCGGCGCGCAGCTGTGTACGTACCGCGTGCAGCGCGCCGAGCAGGTCGCGCGGCGCAGTGGAGCGCGGCGCGCAGCTGTGTACGTACCGCGTGCAGCGCGCCGAGCAGGTCGCGCGGCGCAGTGGAGCGCGGCGCGCAGCTGTGTACGTACCGCGTGCAGCGCGCCGAGCAGGTCGCGCGGCGCAGTGGAGCGCGGCGCGCAGCTGTGTACGTACCGCGTGCAGCGCGCCGAGCAGGTCGCGCGGCGCAGTGGAGCGCGGCGCGCAGCTGTGTACGTACCGCGTGCAGCGCGCCGAGCAGGTCGCGCGGGTTGGCGGCGAGCGCGCGGCGCAGGCCGCGGTGCGCATGCGCGGAGGGCGCGCGCAGTACGCAGTCGAGCGCGGCACGCAGCTCGCCGCGCGCGAGGCACAGCCCGATGGCGTGCGTGGGCGCGGCTGCGTGCGCGCCGAAGCGCTGCAGCCCGTAGTAGTTGACGAAGCCGCGCTCGCGCAACAGCTGCACGCAGCGCTGCACGTGCTCGTCGTCCGCGCGCACATCGCGCAGCGCTATGCGGAACCTGTCCACGTCGAACGCTTTCGTATTCAACTCTCATTCGAGGGCTCGATGCGAAACCTGATATAGCCGTATCTATCGTTTTGATTTATCCCAAATATTTAATTAAATCATATTTATCAAACAGGATACAAAAAGTAGAAGTAAATAACGTTGTATCTAACGGCTCACTTATACAAATAGGTGTACCTCAAGGATTTATTCTGGGAACATTCCCGTTTTTAGTTTACATATTGATCTCGCTTTTGTCATGCAAGACAGATATAGCAAAATATTGTTGGCAAATAATACTTCTTTTGATTACTTTGCTACATCTCTTTAAATGTAAATTGAAATTAAAAATATAAACAAATACACTTGTCATTGAATAATATGCAGATATGTTATACCTCTACATCACTAAAACAATAATAAAGCAATATATTGCTTTTTTATACCTCATTTAATATTAGGTCCAATTTTCAGTTATATCAATTTAGTAAACGATTTTTTTTTTTTCAAATGAACTTATGTCTATGTATTTACAGTACTTTCTGATATTTGTTACCAGGTTTTCCTACAGACAAATTATCTTTAGATATGAAGGAATATTATAAAATATACACGATTGTATTATATTGCACAATATATTTAAGTACGAGTACAAAATAAAGAAAGTGGTTTTCAATTACAAGATACAACAGTAAAATTTCAAAATATAGAGACAAAGCTATAACATTTATTAAGGCAATATCTGTCTGTCTGTCAGTAGTATATCTTTGTTATAACACAAAAATATAAACTCTACTCCTCCGGCTCGAAGGACCAATGTATAATCCAAGGTTGAAATAAAATTAAAAATGCCGATTTTCCAATAAAATTTTCCGTATATTTTTTACACTATATTTGACAAGACAATTTTATTATTTTATTTTTATGTTACAGCAAAGATTTACTACTGACGGACAGACAGATACTGCCTTAACAATATAAAGGAATGATAACGCGTGTTGAAATCTCGCATACATCACAGTGTATTCTGTATATCCATGGTACTGTCCATTTCTATGGGCGACAGCTACCACCATCCATCTATACTGACTACTGACTTGCCTTTGGAAGTTTTTTTTTTATAACACAGAGCATGTGGCTCATCTAATGGTAAGTGACCACCGCCACCTATGATCACCCAGAATACCAGAGGCATCGCAAGTGTACGGTCGGCCTTTAAAAAAGGAACGTGCTCTTTTCTTGAAGGTTACCATGTTGTATTGGTCCGGAAACACTGCTGCTGGAAGGTAGTTCAAAAGTTGTTGTGGAAGAAAGTGTGATAAAGAGAGCACCTGTTGCTGCGCAGCATGCCGAGCTCGAGTGGCGCGAGGGTTACCACGTTGAAGGTAACCATATTGTATCAGTTCGGAAACAGTTGCTGGAAGTTGTTTGTAAAGAGTGTGAGGCAGGGCGCACCTGTTGCCGCGCAGCATGCCCAGCTTGAGCGGCGCGCGCGCGAAGCTGTAGTTGCCGAGCAGCAGGCCGGGCAGCGCGCGCGCGGCGGCGGCCAGGCGGCGCGGGTCCACCTTGCGCGCGCTGAACCACTGCGACGTCTTGGCGCGCCGGTCCTTCGTGCCCGCGTAGCCCAGCATCGCCGGCGACATGCTGCCACGCGCACGCGCACACACACACACACGATACACTCATGCCATTTTTAAACTTTCGCGTTCAACACTGATTTTTTTACTAAACCACCTTATCAATAAACGCTGGCGAGGCATTAATGAGTCAAAAAAAGCCAGATGAGGATGAAACAAGGTCAGTTAGGGTGGATAAACACCCTCCCTATTCGATACCTCTCTCCCTTTTGTCAGTGTTCAAACCAAAGCCAACCAGTAGAGAAATGAATTATTGGATGCGGCCCTGGACGGAGAATTAGTAACAGAAAGGAGCCATAGATCAACCTAATGTATAGACCTCCTGGAAAACATCATAGTTAACACCTGATGAATTCGTCATAATGGGCTTAATCTAACTTCATCCTCACTCATCATCCTTCACTGATACCACGTCATTCCATTAAAAAAAATCAAAACTTACCAAAGGGTACCAATCAAAACAAGAACAAACCATATCATTTCCAAAATTGTAATAATCATTTAAAATAAACACTGTAATCAAGTAACATAATGGGGAAAGGAATTGTTAGTAACGCTGGCAATACACCCTATCAGGTCGACCTCCACGCTGTTCCCCCTGGAAACCATCTTCGTTAATTCTAGTGGAATTTATCACGATGGGCTAACTGACCTGATTTCATCCTCACCTATCATCCCTCACTGGTGCCCCTTCAGCGTATACTGATAGCGCAGGCGGGATTACCATTTCATTATCACCCATTAAAAAAAAAATCACGTAACATAAAACAGCTGCAAGAAAATTCAAACAAATTGAGAACTTGATTTGATAATCTTCTAGAAGTATCTTAAAAAATACTGTTATACTTACTTGATCCTAAGTTTTTCCGCAATCCGCCTGGCTGCATCCATAGTATCGCAGTTCTCTTTGTGCACTATGAAATACACATACTCTCCAGGCCACACCCACTTTACTCTGTTGTCTATACGTACTGCAATAAGAAAAAAAAAATATTTAAAAATTGGTATTTATGTGTAATGACCATTTTAGTCTATTACCAAAGAGGGTAGACGTCAAGCAGGCGGCCGATCGTAAAACTATAAGCCAAATCATTTTGTAATATGGATAAAAAACATATTACACCGACCCCAAATAAATAAGGATAAGGGCAAATGATGATGAGCATCTATGGCATAAAACTGTAAACACATACAAAATACAGGTTGTGTATGAACTTTTTAGTGTTACTTGGCTGGTGTCATACATTTTCATTTATTTGCAAGTCAGCACACTGACTGATATGCAAATGAACACTGAGAAAAATGTATCATCTATGAATACATGCCTTTGCGGGTAAGTTGTCTTTTTTCTTTTCTAAGGAACATCACACCAATGTTTTATAATTTAACAACTTTATCAACTATATATCAACTTTAATACTCTTTCTAGAACTCTTAATATCGGTTTATTTTCAAAAAATATAATATCAGTGAGAGACTAACTGAGTAAGCAATTTTTTTAATTCATAGTCAGTTTGAATTACTATTGTATGGATAAAAAAGCCATATTTTAGTCAAATATTTACATTTAATCTTTAGTTTGTATTTTATTTATCATTATTTTTTTTTTTTTTTTGTTTTCATTCCTCTTGTTTGTTAATTTTTTTTTGTTAACTCCTATTTTTATTGCTTTGTGTAAAGCGCTTTGTATCTATATTGTTGCTATTTGTGAAAACCTATTAGTGGCTTATTTTATTATCCTAAAACTGTATCTATTTGCTGTAGTGTAGCCCTGGTTTTCCTATGAATAAATAAGTATGTACCTCCTTTTCTGTATTTTTCAAAGCGAACAAACTTCTTGTCATCCACACTGACTGTGCTACCAACTATACTTTGACCAAATGCTTTCTTTGCAGCATCATGTATCTTCGTTCTTTGTTCCTTAGTCATTCCAGTCACATCAATCTGGAAATCAAAAAAGTATCTCATATGTCAACTGTAAATATAATTAGAAAATCATGTTTTATGAACTTACTTGATCTAAAAACTAAACTTTAGCAAATTAAAATATATTGGAACTATTAGAAAAGAACCGTGGTAATAATAATTTATACATCCATTCATTACATGACACATTTTGTTATACATATGGATTCCTTACCTCTTTGGTGACTCTAGAAACTGAGTATAATTATAAATAATAAAGATTAATTGGGGATCCTTAGGTATGAGATTTGGTGAGAAGTGGAACAACTAAAGGAAACCTTTGCTAAGCAATAGGACAATCTATGAATGAGATTTTCTATGACTACCCATAAGGTTTATTATGTTTTCATACCTACTTACTTCAACTTTTTCTGTTGAGTCTTCAGTTACAACTAATTTATTGATTCTATCCCAAGTCTCCATTGGAAGTATTTCCACATTATACTTAGAAAGCAGAAGATCCTCATCCTCATCCACAGTATCGTCCGTGGGAGGTTTTGGCGGTTCCAAATCTGTCAATTTGGCTATTTCACCTTTTTCATTTATTTCTGCCACTTGGAAATCAGAATACCTGTAAAAATATATATATATATGACAGCTTTTAGCTAGTTCAGGGTAAAAACAGTAAAATAATTTTCTTTTTTTTTAAGTTTAATAAAAAAACCAAAGGAAAAATCAAGAGTAATATTATTAATATAGAAATAAAAAAATTTAACAGCTTAAAATCAAAGAAAGAAATTCTGCTGCTGAACATAGGTCTCCACCCTAGACTGCCTTATAGATACAGCCCTAAGTATCTACTGGCATGCATTAAATTTAATTAAATTTGACACACCATATGCTGGGAAAAAATGTTGAAAATGTACAAATGATATTATATATCATTTTTAGGCATGCAAATTAAAAGTTAATGTTTTTTTAGTGTGAAAATGGGACAGTAACCCCATCTATGTTTTAAGTATATGCTGGAAGGCCACCAATGACAAGATGAGAATGCAGGCAGGACAGTCAGTCCAACATGAAGAATTCAACAGAAGTTTAACTACGATGGTTTCTAAGGGGAACCATGTGAAGGTCAACCTGGTGGGGTATATTGCTAGCAATGAGGACTAACCTCCCCATTATTAACAATCTCTTCCCCTCATTACATGGAGGTTGACATAGTAGGTGATGCTGGTAATGAGCAGATTGAATCCCATTGCTTTCCCTCCTGATTACTCTACTCCAAAGTACGTAGGTATACACTAATATAAACTACACACTTACCTCGCTTTAATAATTCCACTAAATCCTTCATGATCGCTAACATACTCAGTTACACCAATATCTTTCTCTGTCAACCTTTTGCCGGGAGTATTTTGCCATTGTTGATTATAGTTATTCCTAGCGCCATAATTATTGACCGCAGAGTTATCGCCACGAAATCCATCAAAATTATTATACTGCTGCGAGTTATAAAACCCTTGGTTAGCAGGTCCCCTCCCGGCGCCGCCACGCTTGAATCCGCCTCTGTGTGGTCCACGTTTGTGATCCCATTTCCTATGGTTCCAATTTGAACCTCTTTCTTTATTCATTCTAAAGTAATAAAATTAATATAACCTAAAACAATAATAAAAAAAAAACATGTTCTCTCTGTTCTTTACTAATTGACAAGTAAACACTACATTTGTATTTACTTACTATAAAATGTGTTTTATTTTTCTTGACTTCAATATCTATTTACGTTTTATAAAAAGAAAATTCACATTTACACAAACAAAACTTAGTAAAAAAAGAAAATATAATTTAATTTTTTTTTTGGTCTGTGATGTTGATGTTTGTCAATTTTTTTTTTTTTTAGTACGTTTGTTCCGTTTGGAACAGGCTAAGGTCGGAGACCATGCTGCCTAGTCTTCAAAAAGATAATTTGTCTGGAATGATGTTTGTCAAGTTTGATATTGACATTGACATCACAAACACTGACTGACATTTGGACTTTCGTAATCATAGATTAAGGAAGGATTATTTTTTGAAATTTTTGAGATAGATAATTTTTTTCTTACCTATTTATATACTAAGTACCTATGTATCCTTATTGTGAAAAGATAGGCAAAAGGAACAAATCCTATACAGCTAAAACTGACGAAAAAAAAAAAGATTTTCTTATGGATGAAAATCGTAAATTGAAATAATATTTAAATAATACCGCTTGCGCTATTAGTATTGCGACACAAACTCTAATATTAAGAATCCCTATTCCCCTATAAAGGACCTATACACCTTTTATAATTTTTCGTTCGTAGAGTTAGCGATTCTGCAAATAATTTGTAAATGGTCAGGCGGCTTGAATCATTCACATACTAGTAGTAATAATAGTCGTAGCTTAATGCCATTTCAACAATGGACACAGATCCTGTGTATTCTGTCTTACGGTCTCTTTAGGACGGTTTAGAACCGAATGTACTACCCTTAATCTATAGAGGGTACTGTTTTCTCTAAAAAACAGTATTATACTGCAGTGTTCATAAACAAAATTTACATATGTTAAATGTTCACGATATTCTAAACTGTATTTATAACATTCAATTAATTCAGAATTAATTTTATCAGTTGACATTGATTCTGTACATAAAAGAAAATTTGTGTTACTGGCACATGTAATTGTTATTCCTTGAGTTTTCGTCATCAGACAGTTCGTCATAGTCGTAGAATACTGACGGATCTGATACATATTATATATAAAGATCCGTCGGTATTCTACCACTATGACAAGTAATTTATTCATGTTGGGTCATCCAAATATCACAATAAACTCTGCCATCTAGACCAGGATTCTATAATAAAACAGCACAAATCTTGTATGTAAATGACATGTAATTTAAATACTGTAAACAAGAGATCTGATAATCATTCCTTTATAGTAAGTAGGTACATAAGTTACATTTATTATTATAAAATTAAAAAATCTAAGACTATCAATAATGTTCTGGAATTTTATAAGTATTTCAATGTCGGCTAAAATTATGGGAACACTAAACTTGATGTATGACCAGGATTTGATTAGTAATATAACTTATTTATAATTGAACAGTTTCCTACTCTGTGACGTCTATTTTTAATAAAAAAAAAAATGGCAATTATATTAGTGAATATGCATTGTGTAGGGTCAAGGTGAAGAAACATATTAAATTAATAATTATCCATTAGCTGTAATAAGTAACTGAATTCTAGAATCATGCTACTAAAAGCACCTTTCCACCACCTAACTTCCCTGTCATTGACTCTAATTATGATAATCTGTTGTGTTCAATAGTGGAACCAATTCGAAGGCGCCATTTCTCTAAATCTATATTTGAAATTAAAAATACAATTTGATATTTAACAACATCTTTAATCCAAAGACCAATGTAAACTAAATTTTTAATACATTTGAATCAAAATTATTATGAATTTAGTTCATGTTGGTCTATAAAACAGTGATTTTGTGAAACTATCAAATTAAAACGTTAAGTTAAAAGAAATAGCCCCTTAGAATCAACCTCAACAGTTGCAACAGTTGAATTTTTTATTTATTTTGTGCCAGAAAACATAGCACAATTTTAAGAAAAAAAATGTGTTAATTTAAAATATATTTTGTATTAGCATTTTTTATAAATAACGTACACTACCTGGGCCCACACTCCATACAAAAACATGTCACCTACTTTAACAAAACATAAGTGTGCGGTTTTTTTTATATATATTTTTTAAAAACATTAGACGAAGGAATATAATAAACTAGATACTTATTGTTACAAGGGATCTTGTTTACTAAAATACAATATGAATTAACAAGCTCGTATATTAAATCACGATCAAATAGCTGTCCGTAGTAAATGCATAAAATAAGTAACGACACATTAATGGCAGTTTTAATACTGAATTTTTTTAAAGGAAAATTACAAGCTTGATACCGATACAGTTGCATTGGTTTTATTATTATGTACGCCTGCAACAGCTAGGGTTGTCATATGTACGTCGTTGATCAAAATAAGATAGATAATGTTGATCGATACTAGGGGCACAGGGGTTGAAAAAACAGAGTTGTTCCCAAAATTTTAAGAAATTTGACTACTAGAATGTAGTCAAGCAGGATTACGTGTCAGGCTTCCACTCTACCTTGCAACTACAGATTAAAATGGACCCGTTTAAAGGTAAAAGTAGTATAGTATTATTTTAGTCTCTAGCCAGTCCCAATGCACATGTGACAACCCTGGTTTTACGGACATCCCAAGATGTACCTATCACGTCTGCCATTAGCAGAAAAAAGTGCAGGGCACTCATGTAGACAACTTCTTTATGGACAAAATAAAATTCTCATAACTTGTTCCAAAGACAATACAACAAGCCATTTTAGGTACCTACAAACTAGGTATAAATGGCATATAGGTAAATAACCTATGCATTGATTACGAGAATTATATACTGCACATAAATAAGTTTTATTTAAAAAAAACGTTGCATGGCTAGTTACAAAATAAAAAAAAGTCATTATTGTGCTAGACGATACCTTCGAATATATGTGTCCCTCGGTAAATAAGGATAGAGTAACCCGTCATACACGGGAACGGTTGCAACATGTAGATACAACTACTATCTAACCAAGTGCCACTAATTATCAGTATCACATTAGTTAATACTGTAAAAAGTAACTATAATAACATGTATACTCCACAACTGTATCACAATTATGACAATCGGAAACTGTTTCGAAACCATTTATTTCTGTACTATCCTCCTTTTAGGGACACATATATTTCGAGTTGTAAGATATTAAAAATTAACTATCCATGACTGTAGACTCGGTATTATTTACAACTGGTATTGATACTAGAGTTTGATTCTCATCACTATCTTTAATTTTAGATTCGAGACCATTTTTTAGTACGTTTGTTCCATTATGGAACAGGCTAAGGTCGGAGACCATGCTGCCTAGTCTTCAGTATGATAGTTTGTCTGGAATTCAAATATCTCTCAATTGTCCATGACTGTACATCTCAATACATGAATGCAACACTGACTTGCGTTTTTTTTTTTCTTATCGAAGTCTGTGAATTTTTGGCGGTATGTCATTTCATCTGTATAAACAAGTTGCATTATATAAAAGTACTAAGTTCTACTAGAAATGAATTTGTGTTTTTAAAAAATGAGAAGTTATAACAATAAAAATATAAATTATAAAACATTTTTTTCAGTGAATATTTACACAACAGAAAAAAAAGTTTGAATATAGCTTTTTTATACCGCGGAAGTGGCAAACAACGTACCACCTGAATCTGCTATATTCCGCAACATGGCAATTTGTTTTTTTGATCAAGCTTTATTTTACTCTAATAATTATTATAATCAAAGGGGGGTAAAGAGGTTTCTTCAGGGTCGGCAACGCACGTGTAATGCCTCTGGTATTGCAGGTGTTCATAGGCTACGGTAACCACTTACCATCAGGTGGGCCGTATGCTTGTTTGCCACCTCAGTGGTATAAAAAAAATCAATTAAATGATTAATCTCATTTTATAACAAATATACATTCTGTTCAGCTGTCATTAAATTTTTTTATTAGATTCGTGCTGCAAATTAAAGGAACTTATTGAATACAAATTTATAATTCATTTTGATCACTGTCCAATTGTAAAAAACAATACGCCTATCTAAAACTATGTAAACATCAAAGTTAAAAAATACTTTTTCACTTGAAATTAGCAAACTATACTATAAAGGAGCACTTCAAAAAATATATACAAGAACTTTGTAGGAAAATAAATGCAGTAAATGACAATTAATTATACACGTTAACGTGTAAGATTAAATCTTACAATATAGAACTAACTCGAAGGTGGAGGAACGTGCAGACTCGAGCTCAGAGACACACACCGTGGCCAGATACCGAGGAATCCAATCAAGTTGTCTATTTGTATGAGTTTGTTCTATATTCTAAAAATTAATACAGGTTTGTTCAATATAACCTTGGTACATTTACCATAAAAATAAACCAATCAATACTTCGATTTCTTCATTTCATAATGAAATCTTTATAATCTATATAAAAAAAATACACTAAAATAATAATAATACTAGGAACAGAATAACCAATATATAGCTATGATAATGTAAAGAACCAAACCATTGCACAGCGATACTAAATTATATGGGACTGGATTATATATGTTAAATAATCAAATGGTTATAAAACCTATATACTATTTGGTTACGTCTACCAACAATTCGAGATTTAAGAAGAGTGTTTTCCATTATGTAAAAACTAAACTACATTAATAATATGTGAAAGATATTAATTCGGCGGTTGTTTCACTAGAACTTGATCTCAAAATCTTCACCACTAATTTAATAACTCAACAACTGTAATACAAAAAAATAACTCAACGATCAAGAACATTAACAGCTACAAAAAGTTTGGGATCCAATAGATCGAATGATGTGAACCATGTTTGTTTAAAATATCGTCATAGTCGTAGAATACTGATGGATCTATATATGTAATATTTGTCAGATCCGTCAGTATTCTACAACCATGACGATATAACAAGCAAGGGCCAATACCATTTGTTATTTGTTGTTGGACATATTGTATTGGTTCTGGTAATTGGTATTCTATTGTATAAATAATACAATGTAGATTAAATTTGAAAGAATTATGTATTTCAAAAGTTTTTGTGTATTATGAGATAAGTTTCAATTGAAGCAACCGCCCATTTGAGTGTAGTTTGGCAGTGAACGATATTTCCTAATTAAGAATTATCACTTCTTGAGATCATATTACAAATACAAATATAAATTTCATATTGTTGATAAAACAATTTTTATTAATTTAGAAATGAGCAAATACAATTTAAAATTTTCCAAATAATTATCAAACATTGACAATATGTAATTAATTTACGTTTAAAAATTGGCAACAATGTATCAATACAAAAATTATTTTTAATCTTTTATGCATTATAATCAATAGCAATATGCTTGGCGGCGTGGCCGCTTCGTTCAATTGCGCTCTAAACATACTATTACAACGCACAACCATTTATAATCTATGCTCCACGCATTCACACAGTGTTTACAGTGTACTAAATCCAGATATTACCTACTCCTAACAAATATTGCAATAGCAGTCACAACTTATTGGAAATTGGCCAATTAAAAATATAAAACATATCTATACTAAAATAATAATTATTACTTACGAATTTTTTTTTTTTTGGTGTTTGTTTGTGATAGTATATGATCATACACTCATTTGTAAATTATACTACAAACAATATACAATTAGTAGCATCTGGATCTAGATACCCTTTATAGACATCCACACCTAAAGAATTGGTCATATTAAAAAAATTGTTCATTAAACTTGTCGTTTACGATTGAAATATTAAAATACCTATAGGAAATTACAATAAACAGCTCATAGAATTCATACCAAACTGTATTAAATTATAATCAGAAATAAATTTGACTAGTAAGATTACTGATTGCTATGTCAAACCTCAATATGTATACATACCCCATGAACAGCATATAAGCAATACATAATTATTTTCAACTGCCATACAAAAATTATTAGAAGCTTTACAATTATGAGCTTAATGTGTTGAGAGCACTTGTCTTATTATCACATATTTTGTTATCAGTCGCATGCAGAACTAGTTTCTGCATTGAGTCTAATATTATTTTAGAATTGTCTTCATTCCTCATGTCTTGGTCTCTACACACTTTACCTGGTGTATCTCTAACGGTACCCCTGTTACCTACCACGCCTTCGGATTCAACAGTTTTATTGTCGAAAACTGGAAAGAAATCATAATGAGACTTACCATTGCTCATTTCTTTACTCGACTTTTCATTTTTCACCTTCTGCTTCTTTACATCACCTTCGCTACTTATAGACGATATGTTGCGTTTGGAAAACTCGTCCCAACCCTCAGTTGTTTTTCCGTGTACAGGATTCCAATCTTTCCGGAACGAACTCGATGGCTTTGTTGTTTCGTTCGATGAGAATTTCTGCTGTATGTCATTAATCTGATTATGATTCTCTCTGGATGACACTATTTGGCCATAGACCGGAGTACAATACGTCGTATCGTTACTCCCACATCTGTTGTCTCTGCTAGGATGGTTTTGACTTATTTGACAGTTGTTCATACCTGAATCAAATTCAGATTTCTGACCGGCATTCAGGAGTATCTGCTTAGAAGACTTAACAATGTTCTTCTTCTCATTGCCTGCTGCTCTATTGGGAGAGCAATTGTCATTTCTAATTTTGTCATCATCAATTTCATCGCTGCCGATGCCATCAATGTCATAAACCTGAAATTGGTTAAAATCATTTCTGTTCACTTATCTTGTGCAAATATTATTTTTAAATTTAGGATTGAATTTACAAAACAAAACCAAGTAAAAAAAAAATTTTCACTAAATCTGATAACACTATTGAAGAATCAAAGAGAAGTAAAGAAAGCTTGTTCATACAATATGTTGTATGGGTAATAACTGACTGAAACATATCTCATGGTCAATTTATACACACACACACACACACACATATATATATATATATATATATATATATATATATATATATATATATATATAGCGTAAATAGTTTTATGAGTTGATACTCTTGCTGGGGAGTACATTCTCTTGTTACTAATTGCAAACAACACATCTCCTTATAGTTCTTTACTGGGAAAAAATATATACTTAATAATATATACATAATAAATTATATCAAGATGAGACTTGAGCAAACACCATGGTGCATAGCAAAACATACATATATAAAGTGTAGCTCTTATGTAATAAAAGAATTAATGATATACACAATAATTAATGTATATATTTTACGTAAGTAATAATAACAAACATACATGCATAATAATTAGCCATGTACCTAATACCGGCCTAGAATGGGCTTTTTTTCCCGTGGGTGTGGTAAGAAGCGACTAAAAGAACTGAATAATCAGTATAATGGGCAGTAGTGTCTCTCTTAAAACAATGCCGAAGCCTAACTGCAGTTGCCAATCCGGCTGCCAAGCATGGCAACTACTGTAAAAATTCTTCTATGGGGGAAGCTTAAGGTCAGCAGACAGTAAACAGCTAATATAGTGATGTATAATAAATAGAGAAGGCCCAAATCAATACAATCAGATATACTCCGAATTCTTTTTTGCTTGGGATTGAACCCACAACCATTGAAATGTATGCCAGTGTTGTATAGTGATGTGTAGTGATAACTACACACACAAGTGATGACTTTTTAAAATAATTAATGATTTTTTTTTATAAAATAACTAGTTCACATTTAATAACAGAATTTCCTATCTTGAAGTTTTACTTCATGTATTTATTATTTAGATTATAATACACAAACAACCTTATACATTACATCTTGATTCATTCCCTTTTCCCGTTCCCGTTTGTTCTGGACCGCAAGCCACACATCCTTCAACTCGCCAGCTAGATCCCGGTCCTTCAAGATGACAGGGTTTCGACCGAGTAACAACCCTGGATTCATTCGCTTCAACAAAGTCACAGAGAAGGCTAACAAGTGCTTCTCTATCCTAAAATTGTATAAAAATTTATGTTATAAAATATATTGTTCCTTTTTTTTCTTATTTATCACTAAATAATTTGAAGAAAGTTTAAAAACAAATAAATATATAGGAACTTTAGAAAATAATCTTATATATAAAATTCTCGTGTCACGGTGTTTGTTACCAAACTCCTCCAAAACGGCTTTGCCGATTTTTATGAAATTTTGTGTGAATATTGGGTAGGTCTGAGAATCGGCCAACATCTATTTTTCATACCCCTCAATAATAAGGGTGACCCTCCCCAAAAATTTTTTTTTTTATTTTTTTAACAAATTTTTCCATTTTTATTTTATTATGATTTAGCATTGAAAAATACACACAACTTTAAATTTTCATCGTTTTACGATCAACCCCTGTCTTTTAATCGCGAATTTTATATTTCGCAATAAGTGGTAAAACAACGTTTACAGGGTCAGCTAGTATAATTATATTAAAATAGGTCTATTAATATATGTATGCTTTTATCTTTAGATTTTTTTTATATTATACATTTGATGATTTACTTGATATTTGAATGTTCATTTAAATAAACTGGATGACAAGCATTAAAACAATGATTTTTTAAATATAACTAATGGAAAGAAATCCGGCAAATGTCAACATTAATTTTATATTTAAAATAATATTGTATCAATACTCACTGTGTGATTAACTGCATTTTTTCCATTGGCTTTCAAAATATCAGGATTCACCATAACTGCAAATACGAGCAGTGGAGGCTTATTGCTATTCGGTCCACAACCTTGGGGTACCTTTAAAGGAATGACAATTGTTAAAAATAATAAATAATATAGCCAATCTGCTATATATTTATTGATATACATCATTTTGCGTGTTCTTTCATTTAGTTAAAATCGATATTTTATTAATTTAAATATATTATTTTAGTGAAAAAATAAATTATGAGATAAAACTTGATTCCTCACCTGCATACCACCATATAACGGTATAGGATCCGAGTACTGTTTGGGATTAGCTATCTTTTGCCATCCTAGCACATTTATGAATAATTTCTCCGACGTATCTTTTATTGTATCTTGAATGCACATATGAGGTTGCGGTGGATTTTTGAACTGTCGGAAAGCCCGTGATCCGCGAACATACTGAATCGGAGCGGATTTCTCTTGAGAATTTTGGTTTTCCATAGCAATATTAGTAACGGGACTACACTATTATTTTACGGATAAATCTCTAAACATTCACAATAAAAACGACCAATATCCATTGAAATCTCAGAACCGTCCCGACGTTTAAGTTTATTGAACTCTGCTTAACCGCATCGAATTGGCGATTACTTGGTTTAACCGAGAGCTGAAATCTCTCATTCAATACAATTTCTATTTTAAGTTTGTGTTTACTTTAATCAAGTAGATATAAATATTTATTTAACACAAGGCTCAAAAATGTAAAGAAAGAAATAAAATCCTACTCCTACCGTCGAAAGAGACGACTGTTTGTTTTTTTTATTTTATTTTTTTATTTCCAGGCACACCACAGCAGTCACAGCACATATATGTAGTAAATAATCTATGGCACAGATTATAAAACATCGATGCAGTTTAATGAACAACCAAAGAACAATGACTAGGTCTGACATTTAATTAAAAAGTGTTTGAACATTTTATCTAACGCTTTTAATTTATTTTTTAACCAATTGATAAGGTATTTCGCCACGGTTTTAAATAAAAGATACGACGCCACGTGGTTGCGATGTCCCTTTCGCACAGATTGCCAATCTAGTAAAGTACCGAGTCAAGCTAATTCGAGTAAGGGAGCCGAAGGGATTGTTAGTAATGCAGACTTCTAGTCCTATTGCTAGCAATATATCCTATCAGGCCGACTTCCACGTGGTTCTCCTGGAATTCATCATCCTGAAATTGAAATATATTCATCACGGGCTAATTGACCTGCCTTTTCATTCTCATCTATCATCTCTCACAACAACCATTAAACGATACTAGATATCAATACTTTAGTTACAATTTGTATGTATTGGTCAAATAACGGATATATTAAATGTTGCTTTTGCAATATATAATATCGAAATAAAGAACCCCATAAAAATGAATACAGATATCCAACTGGTATGTACGATATAGAAATGGATCCTTTTTAGCTTTCAGTATCCTAAAGAATTTAATATATAGATATCGGAGCGATACCCGTATTACTCATGCCAAAATACTAGTACTGACTTTAACTAATAAACAGTACCTGTAATCTCGATATACGGAATTCGAATATATGATACTTGAATACATGATTCGAGTATTTGTAGTACTCAATATTAGTCGCTTTTTTTTTATATGTTGGTTTGAATGATTTCTCATTTAATTAATTTCGTCTTAATTACCAAACCAAAAATATTATCTTTAAAAAGAAAAAGTTTCAGAAATCAATTGAAAAATATTTAGAGTCTCATAATGTACTCGATACAAATATTGTATTGTACAATAGTATCCCCAGACTCGAATCAATATTCAATACTTTTTTTATGAGTACTACATTAAGTACCATAGCATAGTATTATATTATCTGTGACCATAGTAATCAAATACCAAAAGAGGCCGACTAGGCACATTTCTATGCTACCTATTTTCTATTTTCTTAATATTTAAATAAAATTTCCATGCTACCATGTTTTTCATGCTTATCTACGAAATTACTCAACCAATTTAAATGAAATTTTGTAAATGCGTATCTTTTGTACTAACTTGAGAAGGTAGAATGTTTTATATTGATAAAAAAGAAATGCAAAATTATTTATTATTAACAATAGTTTGATTGCCATTCTAAATTGCATAAAAAAATATGCCGAATTCACTAGTAATATAAAAAAAAAATTACTATTGCTTATACTGTGGTTGTATCTCCGCGGTGCAATAGTGTGTTCCTTTGTGTAAATGAGTTTCCGGGTTAACTTCCGGACGGGCCAACTTGAGAAACATACTAAGTTAGCTTCATTCTGGCAGTTCTTAGTGGTGCCTTCAGATGTACTATGCTAAGTTTCTCATAATATACCTAGAGAATCAGGTGATTACAAGTAGTGTGATTGTTTAGCAGTTATTATTATTATATTTTTTTTAAATAAAAATCACAGCTTTCCTGTGAAAAAGGAAGAAAAAAAGAAAGGATATATAAATAAAGGATATATATATGGTCTCGTTGAAATTTTATCAGAAATGATTTAGTAGTTTCGTTTTTAAAAATTGACTCTGTCACAATTGAATTCAGTTTTTTGTAGGACACAATCTTTAATTATAATTAATAAAAAAGTATCTACAAAGCGAAGCAAGGTTAACCATAGACTATTTAGTGCTAATCGTCAATCAAATTCAGGTTTCTGAAGAGGAAAATTAAAAAAAAATACACAGTGGTAACATAGACATTTATTTTCTACAAAAAGTAATTCGCTTCTTAAAAAAAATTATCTATCTAAAATTTATATACCTAGGTGCTTAGGACGTAATGCAATATTCTAAATTTGTCTAATTTTTTTTTTGTTTATTATTAAAAAACGTTTCGTTCGCATGCAATTGTACTCTCTAAGTTTTATTATTACTTGTTTATAATATTTATATTATTTTGTATATATTATTTGATAATATAATGTATATTGAAAGTAGGATATCTCCATGGCATATAGTTGAGTGACATCATTTTAGTGCTTTTTCTTTTTTGTTTATCCTTAAATGTTTTTTTTTTTTGTTATTATGTGTGAAATTGAGCACTAAATAAATATTTTTTCTTTCTACCCATGGAACGATATAAAAAGACTTCTACGTGGATCTTATTTTCAACATTTACAAATGTTCATCTTTTAACAATATTTATAGAGACATCTTTAAAAATATATATACATACATATATGTGGGTATACATGCATAAACCTATGAACATGAACAACGTAAAATTTATGAACTAACTGTGTTTGTTGATTTTTTTTTATACAACTTAGAATGGCAAACAAGCTGACGGCCCATCTGATGGAAAGTGGTAACCATCACCTATAGACATGAGCAGTACCATGGACATAACAGAGTATACTGTTTCGCCCATGATACCCGCCATGCGTTACCATTCCTGAGGACTCAGGTGTTATTCCTCTGTACCTTGTAAATTCACTACCATATCCCACCCTTCAAACTGAAATACAGCCATGCAAACACAACTGTTTCACGGTTGAAACACGAATGGGACCTCTGTCCCAAAGTAATCGACTTTTGTACAAAGTCTCCCTCTGGTTTCGACAATTTTGTTTTGACTTCATCCGAACTTGCACTGCGGACTACAGCTCGCAGCCGAGACGCTGTGACGCAAAGCGCCGTACACCCCCTTAAGAAGACTTTCGGATGAAATCGAAAAAATTGTCGGAAACAATAAACAAAATAACTTCATAAATTTTCCGTTGTGCTTGACAGGTGTATTTTTATTAACGTTGTAAATCTTAAGTACATATGAATATTAAGTAGGTACTTATGTATTCCAAGTCTATTGAGAAACATTTTGGTAATCTGACATAGGTTCTATCAAAATTAAACAGTTAGTGGGCACATCTGGGCAAATTTCTTATATGGCTCTTCTTGACAACGAAAAATCACCTCTTTTATAACTCCTGGTATGAACTCCGACACCCACAGGCGCTTCGATATTGTGCATAACTACTTCAGTTCTAAGATGTGATGATTTATTTCCTGTTTGTTGAACAAAACGGTAAAAATATAGATTAAGGCGGTTCCTATTCAAACTGTAAACCATTTGCGAGCTTGCAATAACTGGCTTACATTATTTTTTGTGTTATAAAGTTCTTATGTTATTTGATTCCTATAGCTATATTGTTTTCTCATAATTGAATTATTTCCTTAGTAATGTGTAATAACTGTACGCTCCTTTCAAAATCTGTGAAAATAAAAGGAATATAGTTTTTATTTTTTGCCTTTAATTTTTTGAGTCGTCGGTAGGCGTCACAGATACTATTTGTTCACCATCTATCCATCCATCTAGTACCCATATAGGCGTATTTGTATGACAGTAATTTGATGAGTGGTGGGCATGTTGCTTTACGTAAACAAGGTCCTAGGTTCGATAGCCAGTAAGGTCAATTTTAAAATTTTTTTTCGAAATCGGCTCGGTTTTGGTTATTCAAATCGGTTATCATCTAGAGACCCAGATGTTCTTTGTCTGATATAACAAGATAGCCTAGTTTGAGGGTCAGGCAGTTGGTGTGATTACGTGACATTGATTATTCATCATCGTCATCATCATCATCATATCAGCCATTAACTGTCCGCTGCTGAACATAGATCTACCTCAAAAGTGGGATTTTGCCAATAGTTGCTACGCTTGGCAGGCGGGTTGGTAACCGTAGATAAGCTTTTGATGACGTTTTAAAAGGGACGCTGCTGCCCATCCCTCGCTCTCCTTTAGTCGCCTCTTACGACGCCTACGGGAAAGAAAGGGGGTGACCTATCCTATGCCGAGACCATACGGGAATTTTTTAATTCAATATAGTAATTACCGTAACAAATGTGGCCAGTGTGAGGTTGGTGAATGGTCCAGCAGTGAAGACGTGTTTGATGCTTAGCTGCCCGCTCAGGAACAATACATATTTCCTCTGCTTGACGCTGGTCGAACACCAGTTGCTCTCAAAAGGGCCGTACATGAGATTCTCGTTCTTTAACAGGTCATTACAAAATAATACAGTTTTAGAATAACTGTAATAATAACAGAAACATTTGGCCCACAAATTAAAAGATCGCGCTGCTAAAATACGAAGTACGAAGTACATTCAAATCAAAATTTTATTTATTTTATTTATTTTACTTACTTTATTGTACACATTAGTTATAAAAATATGACAGAGGTAAACAAATGTACAAAGGCGAGCTTAACTCTGATAGAGTTTTCTTCCAGCAACACCCAAAGTGGAAAGGAGCATTAATGTCAGCGGATACAGCAGTGTCATTCGAGATAATCTAAGAATTTCTGTTTATTTTGCATGTGTTTTTACACTAGAGGGACAGTTTGTACAAAAGTCGTTTGTTTGGGCACCTCTGTCTCATTCGTGTTTCTCTGTGAAGCAATTGTTTGCATGGCCGTGTTTCGGTTTGAAGGGTGATATATGGTAGTGAATACAGGGTACAGAGGAATAACATGTCTATAGGCGACGGTTACAACTTTTCATCAGGTGGGCCGTCAGCTTGTTTGCCATTCTAAGTTGTATAAAAAAAGAATATATAGACGAATATTCCGCACAGCGATTTTTAAAAAGAAATATTCTTCCAATTCGATTGTATTTTTTGTGTAGGTGTATTATGTGATTACCTTCGATAAATTTGAACCGATTCTGGTCATTATTTTTGTGGTTGTTTACCTCTGTATTAATTTGACTATGTATAAAGGCACTGTTTTGGTATTTATGTGTCTATCTTAGATTTTTCAATGGATGATAATGAAATGGTGACCCCGCCTGCGCTAACGTTATACGCTGGCGGGGCACCAGTGAAGGGTGATAGGTGAGTATGTAGCCTATCTTAGATTATATAGATAGAGCATCTATTCTTAAAAACGGGTGAACTTTTTGTCAGCTAATTGTCAAATTAACTGTAAATATAAATTGTATGAAAGACCTGCTTTTCTAGAAGCATTTGTCACAGACACTCCATCTGTATAATCTAAGTTGCCTATTTATGTTTATAATATTAAAAAATAATAATAATAATGATTGCAGCTCACCTTAATGAGCACTTTATTGCTGTGCCAGCAGAATACAAAAAGTTGTGACACTCCGAAAACTAAGTATTCTCCCAAAAGAAGCTTCTGTGCTGTGTTTGTTGACGACTGTAAATAAGTATATATTTATAATTTTATTTATATATATTCTGCTATTAATTATATAGCTACTAGTAATATAATATGTTATTTATCATACAATTTTTACACCATATTCGTTTCGGGTTCTTAACGTTGACTGGAAGGAGTCCCTTTAAGGGATAAAGTCCGCCTGTGTACATTTTTGTTATGACCTAATATCCATATTATAAGTGATTGTTAAGAGGGACGTTGCTGCCCATCCTTCGCCCTCCTTTAGCCGCCTCTTACGACAGCCACGGAATAGGAAGGGATGACCCATTCTATTCCGGGATCTACACGGCGACCTTACTAATATAATAAATGTTAGTGATATTGTTACTTTGCTAACGTCCTAATAGCTTAACCAATCTTTATAAAATTTGGTACGTAGATTATAGGGAATGAAGAAGTACATAGGAAACTTTTATCCTATTTTTTATACAACTTAGAATGGCAAACAAGCTGACGGCCCACCTCATGGAAAGTGGTAACCGTCGCCTATAGACATAAGTAGTACCATGGACATAACAGAGTATACTGTTACGCCCATAATACCTCCCATACGTTGCCATTCCTGAGGACTCAGATGTTATTCCTCTGTACCCTGTAAATTCACGCCATATCCCACCTTTCAAACCGAAACAGCCATGCAAATGCAACTGCTTCACGGTAGAAACACGAATGGAACAGAGGTACCCAAGCAATCGACTTATCTACAAAGTCTCTCTCGATTTCCTTTATATTATAGTGAACACATCCCGCTCACGCGGACAAAGTCGTAGATAAAACTAATATTAAATAATTAATAACAAGGTGGATTATTAGCCCTCACATCATCATAACATCAGCCGTTGTCACTGCTGAACATACGCCTCCCCCAAAACAATCCCATTGCTAGCGATGTACCCTATCAGCTCGACCTCCACGCGGTTCCTCCTTGAATCCATTGTAGTTTATTCTTGTTGAATTCGTCATGATTGGCCAACCAATTTACCAACTTCTTCCGTTAGACCGCATTCAAAGTCGGGCAGCTCGAATTGTTGACGATCGGCGTCTTACTGTTCACTCATCATCATCTCATTGCATCTTCTACGAATTTATCATATGCTCTGAAGTAATTTTCACCAACCGCCATAAACTAAAATTTCATCCCAACCATAACCGTGCGTTTTTACACAACCACTCTTTGGAATCAACTTCCAGCAACAGTATTTCCGAACCGATACGACAACATAACCTTCAAGCCATATTCCTTTTCAAAAGGAGCACACCTGCAATGCCGTAGGTGTTGTGGGTGACAAAAACTTATGCTCGTTTGCCTCCTGTGTTGTAAAAAAAAACTGACTTGCTTACATCTTCATCTATGATCTCTTATTAAAACTATGCCAGCATTAACCGATAACGCAGGCGGGGTTGCCATTTCATTTTCACTCAAAGAAAACAAAAACTTATAAATATTTAATTAACTTACTGTCAGCTGATATCCACTAGCGCAAAGCATCAGCGAACAATTTAATAAGTAAAAGAACATTACTGGCGAGAATACGGAATTGAATAATCTCGAGTATCTGGAACAAAACGCAACAATTATTTAGTGAAACAAAAACAAAACGTTGAGTCGATGAAACAATGTAGGTACTGTAATTATTATTTTGTTTTGAAGTTGGACCGTTACGAATCGTGGTGTGTAGTGACTCGCGCGAGGCGTTGAGAATGTAAAATATCGATAAAATTTTTTACATCGTAATTATGTATATTTTAACTATTATTTTTGTATTAAAATTATTTTTAGTGTAAAACGTAATATTTGAATAATTTAAGTTTATAAGAATAAACATGGTACGTTGAAATACCTATTTGTTTCATGTATAATAAAATCGACTATATATATGGACATTAACAATGAATATTTTTAAATGATGCTGAAGAAGGTCTTCGTTCTGATTTGATCTAATTCATCATTTTATGAATTATATAATCAGTTATTACAGCGATCAAATGATTGATGTATATTTGTACACGAAGAATATTTTCGTGCAGTCGATTCTATTGTACTTACCCAACTAAACATGAGAGTTGAGATGTACTGCTTATATAATCTTTTGTTTCGTTTACAAAATATTATTAATTTTAAAAGAGAACAATTTATGATTTTTATTGTCCTTAATCTTAAGTAGGTAATAATAAATTCATAGATACTTTGGATTGATCAGATAAATGTAAGGGAAGAGGACAACCGATGAAAAGGTGGATAGACTGTGTGAAATATGATACGAATAAAAGAAGATTAAGCCCAAGTATGACAGCTAAGAGATACTTATGGAAGAGAAACATATTAAGTCAAGGTAATGATTATGATAATGAATAGATAATGATTTTTTAGAGGTAAATAAAAGTGCACAAGCAAAATAAAGTCTACCAAGTTTTATTATTGTTATAACGTTATTTAAGATAAAGAAATAAAGCATATAAGATAAATTGCAACTGACATGTTATATTGGGCCTTAGATGGCATATCGTAGTTACATACATGTGTATACCTAAATATCTATATATTTCTAATAATTAGAAAATTGTGTTGTATATATATATATATATATATATATATATATATATATATATATATATATATATATATATATATATATATATATATATATATATATATATATATATATATATATATATTACAGGTCTCAAGATACTAGTTAAGTATAACAAATTGCTAATAAAGTAATTATATGTGTTAGTGTGTTCTGCAAACATGCCTATAGGGATATAAAATTGGGAAATAGTTACTGTTAATTTTAAAAATATATTGCAGATATTTCATGGCATTATAAAATTTATAGTCTCACCTACATGTTAAAAGATGTAATTGAATTTTATATTAGGTATGTATCTACTTAAAAATAGGGTGAGTCATTGAAGTAAAACTGTTCAATATTCGATAACTTTTCAATATAAAATATAATCAATAAAACTGTTATAAAATTTTAAAAATCAGGACTAAAAGAGTATTGGTATAAATTTAACACGAGTATTTATGTGTTTAGCCGTGATATCATTTCTTGGTTACCTATTTTATATATAGTTTATTTATTTAAAAAGTGACTTGATAGGAAGTGTAGTTATCTAAAATTTAAAGTCTATTGATATAATTATCACAGGAAATTTCAATTATTTCAATGATCATCATTATCATATTTTTGCCCTTATTCCGGTTACATAAATTTTGGGGACGATGGGATATTTTTATTAATATTACCTAAAGGCTTTACCTAAAGTCTCACACCTAGTCGCCTGCCTGAGGTCAGTTAATTTAATGATATTATTGATCTTACAATATTGTAGGGCTATGGTGACCTTGATCTGATGATGCAGTATTATTTAGAAACTGAAGAATACCAAACAGCATAGGTATCGTTTCTGTATAAGTTTGTATAATAATCTAGGAAAAAGAAATGAGAATAAAAGCCAATCTATCGTGAAGAATAATTGAGAAGGAGAGCGGGTCATTCCTTCCCTTCCCGTGGGAGCTGTAAGAAGCAATTAAGGGAAGTTAATGGTCGAAAAACCGGCAACAGCGTTCCTCTTAATACATCATCAAGCGCCTAACTGCGATTTCTAACCCACCTACCAAGCGTGACGACTATTGGCAAAAGCCCCCTTCTATGGGGAAAGGCTGATATATTGATCATAACGATTTAGGTTTATCATTACAAATATTGTAATACCCATAGAATTCTTGTTTTTATAATACAGGGGGCAAACGACCATGTGGCACGCCTGATGGTAAGTGACTACCACTGCCCATGATCACCCACAACATTAAAGGCATGGCAGGTGAGCTGCCGGCCTTTTAAAAAGGTTCTTTTTTTAAATATCGTATCGGTTCGGAAATACTGCTGCTGGAAGTCGATTCCAAAGAGTGGTTGTGCGTGGAAGAAAGTGCCTTAAAAAACGCACGATGAAAGATTGCTACTCGTCCAGATGGTTGAGATGAAACTTTAGTTTATGGCGGGTTGTACGGTGATGAAAATCAGCAGCAGTTATCAATCCGAACAATTCCTCAGAGCACTCCCCATGAAAATTCGGTAGAAGATGCACAGGGATGCAACATCTCTGCGCAGTTTCAGTGGGTCGAGCCGGACAGTAAAGCGCTGATTATCAACAATTCGAGCCGCCTGACTTGGAACGCGGTCTAACGGAAGGAGCTGGTACTGTGGCGCTTTTATAACCTGACTTAAGCTTTATACAATTTCAGGCGATGTTCCGCCGTGTAATACCGCCTCATTCTATTAAGCACTCCTAACTTTTTGGAAGTTCTAATATCATGTCGGTTTATTTAGGACCTCATGCCTATTCTGCCAGATTCCAGATAGTATCTATATAAACATGTTTGTGTCGTTTTTTTGAAGAAATAAGAAGTAGGTCTGGTTTTTTTTATACAACTTAGAATGGCAAACAAGATGACGGCCCACCTGATAAAAAAAGTGGTAACCGTCGCCTATAAACATGAACAGTACCATGGACATAACAGAGTATACTGTTTTGCCCATGATACCCCCATGCGTTGCCATTCCTGAAGACTCAGGTGTTATTCCTCTGTACCCTGTAAATTCACGCCATATCCCACTTCAAATCGAAACACAGCCATGCAAACACAACTGCTTTACAGTTAAAACACGAATGGAACAGAAGTAACCAAGCAAACGACTTTTGTACAAAGTTTCCCTCTGATTTTTGGTTATTTAATTACTTAACTCGTTGAATAGTTTATTTTCGGAGATAATTCTACACTATTTTATCGTATTTAGATTTAATTAACCGGAAAGGTAACTCAAAGACTAATAAAGGACATAATGCGGCGGATACTATCTTTACTTCAAATTCAATAAATTCAATTGAAAAGCAAGTTTGTTATTGTGCAACTGAAATACAATGCAATATAAAATCTTTGCAAACTATATGATAGAAAACTTTGTTTATTTTTAAAATTACTTATTATAATTTTTTAATTGTTCATTACCGAAAATAGCTATACTGAGATGTGAAATCCTTTTAAAAAATATTTAAAGCTTCTTTGCAATAATTCGTTTTACGTAGATATCATATTATTTTTTTATAGTATTATTTGATATTCTAATGATATAATAAATTGAGAACGGTTATTATTAAGCTGATTTACTTATAACTAGCAAGTAACAAGTAACTGTGATATTACGTTTTCAATTTGCGGTTATGAAAAAAATTATTATATATGTCGGTGTATTTGAAATTATAATTTTTTAGATTGTAAATTAAATACCGGAGAGAGACTTTATACAAAAGTCGTTTGCTTGGGTACCTTTATCTCACTCGTGTTATTACTATAAAACAGTTGTGTTTGCATGGCTGTGTTTCGGTTCAAAGGGTGAGATGTGTCAGTGAATTTACAGTGTACAGAGGAATAACACCTGAGTCCTCAGGAACGGCAATGCATGGGAAGTATCATGGGCAAAACAATATACTCTGTTATGTCCATGATAATGCTCGTGTCTATAGTCTATACAGTTACCACTTTCCAACAGGTGGGCCGTTAACTTATTTGCCATTCTAAATTGCATAAAAAATAATAATTTAATAGTAATTGGATAGTAATGTGGAGAAGCTATAAAAATGGCATCAGAAAATATTAATATATTTCACCGACGTTTGATTCTATGGAATTAATTTGTAAGTAGTCAATTTAGATAAAAAAGATTTTTAATAATGGACTTATGAGGTAATAAATATAAAAAGAATATAATCAAATTGAAGAACTCCTTCTTTTGAAGTCGGTTGAAAAAGATGGCCTTTAAAATTTTTTAAATTATATCTTTTAAAGTATTTAGTTCAATTATTATAATAAGAAAATAAAATTATTGTTCTAATTTACTATATGTCTAAATTTAGTATATTTTTAGAAATTTAGATTATTAAATATAATTATTTACTAATTATTAAATATTAACATGAATTAAATTATGCCTACTACATACTACCATAAATATATACCATAAATATAAATATATTGTAAACAGACACACAGACACGAACAAACACAAACTTACTTTATTACTTTTATGTGTATATCGTGAAGTTGACGGATAGTGATTTCAGCGTCCTGGTCAGAAAACCTCTGGCCGTTTATGCCCAACATTTCTGTACACCTTATCCTCAACAAACTTAATTTACATTCAAAATATACCATTATAGTAATAGCAGTGCTGTCATAAGCTGCCGCAACAGTAGACTCATATATACATGTAAAAATGTGCCACACTACAGTGATCCAGCATCCTGGGGAACTATATTTGTCCAACGGCATCCATGAGCTCATTATGTGAGAAAATACCTCCGTTCTATTCTGAGTAATCTCATTCTGTGACGAGGTCGATAAAACATTCATAAAAGGAGCACCAATAACTGCCAAACAAGTTGCGAATGCCAATACCCAATAACAGTACGACACTTTGCGACAATAAGTTGTGTATTTATCAATGGTTTTAGCTTTTGCAGCGTCACTGTTGTCTCTCTCAAATTGATCAGCTTCTGTTACATAATCAATGAGTTCCCTCCATTGTTTTTGCCAGAACACGAATGTATCACCCTTCAAAACGGATACTGCACTCAACATAGAAATCATCATGTTGGATATCACGAGATCTATATCTGATCTTATTACGTACAATTCTATATATTGGCTGATAATAAAGAGTATACCGAATAGATGTATTACTAAAAATAAATATTTAAGGAGAAAGTTGTCAGGTAAAATTAAACCACATTTCTTTAAAATCCAGTAATTCGGCCCAAGAAGGGGCTTTTCACGATCTTCCAAGCTCTCAAGGAATTGTCTGATCATCGTGTATAGCTTGACGGAATGCTTTGTAAAAATGCTGCGTGAGTGGAATTTGTAGCGTATATATAGCCACCCCGCTACCCTATCTTGAAATGTAGACCGATTGTAATGAAACATGTGTGGACAATTCGATGAAGGGACATTTTCATACATTTTTAAAATGCTACAGTCGTAAAATTAACTTAAATTTAGCATCTATATTATTTATGAAATACTTGTTTTATATTATAATTTGTAGTTTTTTTCTGTGACAAAACTGGCACTGCACCACTATTCAAGTTCGATGGCAAACATATTTAAATAGTATCTAAAAATGGACTTAAATAGTCGGGAATTTACTATAATAATTTGTATAAGACTACGTGTGAATGTTTTACTATATAAATTTTAATATTTACAACATTGATAATATTAGCTGTTTTCAGAGATTTCATTTGCACAAAAGCCATTATCCGTTTCTCCGGAGAAATAATGAAAATAAATTTTCAGTATTCGCTAAAGTTACGCGAGAAACCTTTAAGCTAAATTCGTCATAGTCGTAGAATACTGACGGATATATATATTTAATATTTGTCAGTTCCGTCAGTATTCTACGACTATGACGAATTGTATGATCTTTAAGCTAGTTTTTTATATAGGTATGTTAATAAATTAGTCAGTTTCTTTCTTATGTATATACCTTGTAATACTCGTATGTACATAGGTTATTATATTTATTTATTAATATTACCTTTGTTACTAAATTCATTATATGTAAATCGTTTAAAATGCGACATAGGATGTTAATAAATTCGCAAGGATAGTAATGTACTGTTACTTTCTTTTAAATAAAAAAAATATTGCACGAAAATAAGTTAAAAGTAGGTTGAGTGACGCCTTAATTAAAAGATAAGAATCTATATAAATATTTCTAGTACATATCTCATGAGTATGTTCACAATTTCAGTTATGGTGAGCGTACGGCTATTTAGTTCCTCGATTTATTAACGAACTACCCTCCGATTTACGAGATAACATTACTATTAACAACATCAAATGTTAGCAAAATTAAAACGATACTTCTTGCATGATTTTAATACAGTTTAAATAATTTGAATGTATTTAGTATTAATATAAACCTACGTGGTTTCTGAATGCTAATGTAACATAATTTCTGTAACTTTGTATTTTTATTTATAATAAATAAATAAAAAAAAAAACTGTTTCCATTTAAACAAGAATTATTTTTAAATCAACTAATTTTATCGATAAAACGAGCTACATCACTATACGAACAGTTAAATTGAGTAGTATCAACATATCATTAAGGTGTAAATCGACAAAATTAAATTTTATGTGTCTATTCTAGCAGCGAAATGTGGGCGGGGCAGCCACACCATGTCGATCCCCACGGTGAAAAAATAATGAAGCCATTACAAAAAAGACATACAATTACCTTATAATAACACGAAGGTGAAATTGGACACGCCACCACGCGAAAAATGTAGATGTGACAGAAATATAAAAAATTGTAGTACCTGTCATTGTAAAGTTTTAAAAAATTTGTTTTTATTAGAGTGAATATTAAAACCAGTCTTGAGTCATGCTGCAAAAATAAATATAGAAAACTTACAATAAAACAAATTAAAGTAATTCGTAACTAAATCACATGTTATTAGTGAGAAAGAATAGGTGAGGTCGGTCGACCGATCCATCGTGACAAATTCACTAGGAATGTTTTACTATGGCTTGCAGAGTGGATCTCTTAGTGGTCAACTTATATACCTATGTATATTGTATGCAGTAGGCCGATTCCTACCAAAATATGATATAATTAGATTGATTTAAGATTAGAAAATAGGTGCACTACAGTACTATGCCAGGGGGGAAGGGATTGTTAATAATGCGAACTGGTCAGGTCAATCTTCACGTCATCCTCCCTGGAAACCATCGTGCTGAATTCCAGGTGTAATTATCACGGTGGGCCAACTGACCTGCCTCTTCATTTTGACTTATCATCCCTTACTGGAGACCCCGCCAGCGTATACCGTTAGCGTAATCAGAATTACCATTGATTATCATACATTAAAAAAATAGAACCATGCCATGCTAATTATACGAAATTTTATTAAAAAAATGATAGATGTCGCAATGATAGTCAGTTATCTTTTATAAGAAGAAAATATCTTTTATATTCACAAAATTGAGAAACTATATTATAATAGCTTTATGTATGTATATATATATATATATATATATATAATCAATCTAAACATATTATAATTTGTACTACCGACAACATACATTCTACATTTGTACAACCGAAAGACTTATTTAAATACTTAATTTCGTAAATAAATACCCATATATTATATATAATATATAGAAACAACCTGATTAATACAAGTAGATGAGCTCATTAATATTTTTTTTGTATTCTACGGGAATCGAACTTGTGACCAGTGGTAGGTGAGGTAGTATGTCGATCGCTACACCACAAGGATCGTCAATTTCAATAATTTCATTTATTTGAAAATATCAAGAGAGGTTACATAACAAAGCACGTGAATGAGCTTGCAGGTATTAAAATTTGCAGTTCAGGAAGAAATATCATCGTCATCATACCAGCCGTTAACCGTCCACTGCTGAACAGAAGCCTCCCACTTGGGATGTTTTGCCAGTAGTTGTCACGATTGGCAGGCAACCGCAGTTAGGCTTTAGAGATGTTTTAATAGGGACGCTGCTGTCCATCCCTCGCTCTCCCTTAGTCGCCTCTTACAACACTTACGGGAAAGGCAGGGGTGGCCTATTCTGTGTCGGGACCACACTGCTGAAGAAGATAAAGTATTTATAAAATATATTCGAACTCGTCGGATACTTTCCAAATGTTGGAAGCTTCATTTTAATTAGAAAATTATATTCATTGATCATTACAGTCACTGACTAGGTTAAAAAGTAATTCACGTCTCCATCCTAATAATTAGTACCAAATTTCATAATGATTGATTAAGCCATTAATTATATTATATTAGTTTTACTTAATTACTTTCATATTTATAAAATTAGTATAGTATCAAAGAATACAGTAAAGTATTGTTAAAAAAAAAACAAATGTTTATGTTAACTACTGAAGACAAGAAAACAAGGAAGTAGGTTTATTTAAAAATGTTTATTTAAAAAAAAAAATAACCTAAAAACTAAACATATTCATAAGAAATTTGAACAAACATTGTATTACGGGTTACAACACACATCTTCCAATATGTCATTGTTGAAGTACTTAGACATGAAAACGGTAATTAATTTCTGTTATGCTGATAATGGATTCGAATTATGGTGTCCACTTCATCAGGCTGTTTCACACGCTAGCAAGTTGAAGACGATACAAAAATTACTACTTATTTATTAAGTTACATTTTATACAGGCTGATTTTTTTTTAATACCACTGAGGTGGCAAACCAGCATACGGCCCACCTGATGGTAAGTGGTTACCGTAGCCTATGAACACCTGCAATACCAGAGGCATTACGCGTGCGTTGCCGACCCTGAAGAAAGAATGGCCACTGCACATTCCACGTGAATACAGGTAAGTTATATACAAATCATATGTTTCTTGAAAAGTACGCACACTCTAAATACCCAGTGATATACCTAATAAATCATCTTCGACATCATATCGGCCTTTTACTGTTTACTGCCGAACATAAGTCTCCCCCATTGGGTTTTGCCAGTATTTGTCACACTTGACAGGCGGATTGGCAACCGCAGTTAGGCTTTGGAGATGTTTTAAGAGGGATCTAATAAATACTGAGAAGAAAATATATTGCTGCTACAGCGGCAGCCATGATTATCATAAAATTTCTATTCTTGATAGATTATTTTACACGTTAGGGGGGTGCTTGGTATTTTGTAATATGGTAAAAATGGAATAGTAACCCCGTAGTTGGGGTATAGGAAAGTAAGGAAAACGAACTCCTTATTGTTAATAAACCTTACCGAGGGGATGAGCTGGCTCCTTAAAAAAGATGCGCATGTATTATCAGACTTATATTTAGATATACATAGTTCAAAGTTCCGCTTTTTATTCTGAGGTGGATACCATTCAGCTCTGTGGTGGGTTTGGTCTGCTCGGTCCCCCTCTAAATGCATTTGTTTTTTTTTTTTAGTACGTTTGTTCCGTTTGGAACAGGCTAAGGTCGGAGACCATGCTGCCTAGTCTTCAAAAAGATAATTTGTCTGGAATTTTATTTTTCTAATGTCGCTTCAATTATAGTCATAATCTTCAATATTTCATTTGTCAAATCCGGTAAGTACATTTTCATAAATATCTTTTCTTGAGTTTTCTTAAACCAGTGGATTTATCAAATTAAAAATAAATAATTATAAAAAATCATTGTCTTGCAATTCAATAAAAGTATTCTTATAGCTCCTTGAATGTTGTAGTAATATAAGTGAAAATAGCTTTAAAACAAGAAGGAAATCTTAAGAGAAGCGGGATTGAGTGCGGGATATTTTCGGGTTTTTTGAAGATAATCCTAAGTTCGTCAAACATAATGTGTCTTTGAATGACAAATTCAGAGCAATCAAAAAAAAGGTGATGTAGAGATTGGGCTGTATTTGAGTTACACCATGTGCATGATGGGGAAGCGATCATGCCCATTCGGTGCAGGTGTTCGTTGAAATGTCCGTGGCCGATTCGTAATCTACAAATATTGGTGTAAAATTTTCTGTTTGTGTCCTTTCCTTTGCAGAACCACGGTTTTCCAATACGCCAATTAATTTTGCGGTACCATTTGCCTTTAGTCTGTAATATTTGAGTCCAATGCTCCTCCCATTTAGTTGTAACGATTTTATGTATTCCAATACTACAATCTGAGTAACAAAGGGGTAAATCTTGAACACGAGCAGCACTTGAATTAATAATTTTAGCCAAAGTGTCTACTTGTTCATTCCCAAACACTCCAATATGTGAAGGGGTCCAGATGAAGATAATATCTTTTCCATATATAGTACAGAGATGATAATACTAAATGCATTTGTATAACTTACATCTTCTACTATTATAAAAATAACAAGAACATAAAAAAAAAAAAAACATAATTACTCGTATTTAGTTTTATGATATTTAATAGCATGTTTTTACTTATTTGTAGGCAAGTAGTACTATTATTTGTGGACATTATAAGAAGCTTTTATGATATTTTTATTTTTAATCCTTACTAATATGAAAATACTAATAAATTAAACAAATGCAATATATAAGTTTATTTGTTTGTTAGTTCTTAGGGCTTTATGAGCTTAACTACTCACTGTTATTTTTATTCAAAATAAATTATGACACAATGTAATTTTTGTTTACAATAAATAAATAAATATGAAATTTAATATGTACGGGTGCACGTAATAAAGTATTTTCAATATTCTTATTTAACACTAATCCAAATAGTACGTATTGGAACGCGCTGTAAATGTTGCTGTCAATATTAAACGTCAACCGTCAGTGACAGTTTTGCTAATTTGTTTGTTTATTTTTCGTCAATGTTTTCTTCAAGATTTCCAATTCTCTTGAAATGTTTCTAGTTACATTTCTTCTTATAGTAAATACCGGCAAATAAGTATTTTTATCATAACAGTATAAAATGGTAAGCTGCGCAGTGTCTAATTGTAAAAACACATCTGGGAAAATCTCTAAGAACAAGGATGGCATTACTTTCCACAGGTGAACACGAACTGTAATACTACTTGATTAAACACGCATCCATTTTATTTACATATATTTTTAATTTTATTTAATCACTCGCGATCCGTTCTAGCTTCGCACGAGTAGACATAAAGAAAGATGGTATTTAATATCAGCTTTAATAGTTAAATTTTTAATATTATATTAAAGGTTCCATTATTTTTAATTTTTCTAGGGATTTCTATTTTTTTTTTAAATAATATATACCCTATATGTTACTCGTTGACAGTGCAGTTTTCTATAGGTGAAAGATTTTTTAAAATAATTTTAGTGGTTCTTGAGTTTATGCATTACAAACAAAAATATAAAAAAAAAAATTCTCTATATTTTTAAGTTTAAACAATGTATAAGAATTATAAAATATTTTAAGTATCTATATATGATATAAAAAACACTTGTACTACTTTCACAGATTTGAAATATACTCTGTTATGTCCATGGTACTGTTCATGTCTACAGGCGATGGGCTGTCAGCTTGCTTACCATTCTAAGTTGTATAAAATATATATATATATATATATATATATATATATATATATATATATATATATATTTGAACTGCTGGGTCTAGTAATTTAAAATTTTGAATAGTATCCTTTTTTGATAGTATGCATTCAGAATGAATTTTTTAAAAATTTCATCACAACAAGTGATAATGAGTAAAGACCAAGTTTTATATTTAGTTTACTATATAACAACAATTATTCAATTTAATTTTTCAAAATCTTACTCTGCAAGATATTAGTTAAGTTACTAATTAAGTTTATGTGTGAATAATATTAAGTATTAAGCATGTTTCTAATTACAATTATTAAAATTGGTTAAAAATATAGAAAAACTTATATAAAAGAAATTGGATATGAATTTTGAAGTTTCTAAAGCACATCTTTTAATACGGTTTTAATGCAAATGGACTTAAATTGTGTGTACTTTTATAATGAGCTACAGTCTTTAATATTTAATGACTAAGAAATATATTTAATGTATTAATATAAAATTTCCTTTCTATCTGTGGGTGTTATAAAAGCCCACTAAGAGAGGATGAGGGATGAGCACTACCATACCTCTTAAAATATCTTTAAAGCTTAACTGTGGTCGCCAATCCACCTGCCAAGCATGGCAACTACTAGCAAAACCCACCAAATTGGAAGCTTATGTTCAGCAGTGAACAGTTAAAGGCAGATGATGATGATGAATATAAAATTTCAGATTTCCCCGAGACAAAGAAAGACGTCGCCAATGGGAAGTGGCCGTCAACAGAGAGGAGGAATGGTCGTCCACAGCGTCCAGTGCAGTCTGTTCAGAACATTTTGAGGCCAATGACTTCTATTTGACAGAGAGCGGCCTGCGCAGGCTCTCAGTGGATGCTGTGCCTTCCATAAATATTTCTGTGAGTATTATAATAAAACTTGTGTCCAAGTATAATTTATTTTTGCTTAAAAAACAGTAATTTTATAATATTATATTGTAGAATATTTAATTTTGAATGTGGAATAATATAGTTTTAGTTCAAAAAATAATATGTACTAAATATATGATATTATGAAGTAATCTATTTTAATCTATTCATTATTGCAACATACATATACATATAAAATATTTTCAAACTTTTTGTGGGATAGAATAGTATTACTTTAATTACAAAAAAAAAAAATGGAAGATGGTAAAACAATGTTTGCCAACTGCAATTTTATAAAAATAGAAACAATTTACATTTCCTGTACCTTAACTGTCTCTATACTCAGATTTCATAAAAAAATATATTTTTTTAAAATATTTTACAGCCCTGCCAGGCACCTGAACCCACAATATCGAAATTACAACCAATAGACGTCACCCCAACAGATACGGAGGAAGTGATCAAACTGAAATACAGAGTGCGCAGGTTAGAAGTGATCGCTGAGAGTCGCAAGCGGCAGCTCAACCTTATGTGGCAAAGGAAACGGAGGCTCCGGAAGAAGTTGGAACAGATGAAGTGTTTAATCAAACATTTAATCAAGAATAAAAGAGATAAGGAGAAAAGCTGATGATGAAAGAGAAACTTTTGGTGTTATTTTGAGAATTTATTGTGACAAGTGTTTGTATTTTCTGAACTTTAAGACTGACTACTTAGAGCTAAATTATTTTTATTTTCAATATAGTCTGATATATGAATTGTATGTCAATGTATATAAAATATTATATATTTTATTTGTGATTATCAATTTCAATGAAATTTTGTTCATCAATGACTAGTTCCACTTTGAGGAGAGTGTTGCTCAATATATAAAAATCATGTGTCACTAATGCGAAGCTGGGGTGGGTTGTTAGCTAAATTTAAAACTACATAACAGTATTGACAAAGTGGCTGTTGTATAGTAAAACTAATTTCTTCTCGTATATTGTCAGATATCAGGCAAATGAGTCATGTAAATTATATTTATTTAATTTTAATTATTACATTTAAGCCCATTATTTTTAAATTTTAAAACTTGTATGAGTGTGTTTTAAAGTATTTATATTATTTATTTTTATAATAATTTTCTTAAACAACGATAAAATATTAAAAATTGTATGATTAACACATGTTTATTGCTTTTTACTATTATTACTATTATAATATTTTTTTTTAATATAAGATAAGAACTGCAAATTAATAAAATTATATATTATGAAGATAATACGTGATGATACGAGATTTTTATCACTGGAAAAAATTTTGTGTGTTAGGTAAAAGAATTAAGAGACAAAAATGGTAAACGAGTCGCCATATTTGTCTTTTAATCAAGATAGGTATATATATATATATACTAGTAGGTAGTATATATATATATATATATATATACTAATAGGTAGTATATTGTATTGTTGTGTTAGTATATTGTATATATGTATATATTGGGGGGAAAGGGATTGTTAGTAATAGAGATTAAAAATCCCATTGCTAGCAATATACCTAACCAGGTCGACCTCCTCGCGGTTCCCCCTGGAAACTATCATGGTTAATTCCTGATGAATTCATCATGATGGGCTAACTGGCCTGTTCTCATTCTCATCGATCACCCTTCACTGGTGCCCCGGCAGCGTATCCCGTTAGCGCAGGCAGGGTTACCATACCATTTTCACCCATTAAAAAAAAAAAAATATGTATATATTTTCATATTTACGTGTTGCTATGTGGTTGATGTTGGTACACGTGTTTAATTTAATTGATGAAATGGTTTCTGTGCTGATGGCACCACCACAAATGTATGGTTCAGTCTATAAGAGATCCGTTTGAGAAATAAGTCCACCTTTGATAACAATATTTATAACTGTCTTATCTATGCAATTTACAAGTGCAAGAAATTATATATATATATATATATATATATATATATATATATATACACATATATCTTTTTACTTCCATTATTTCCAAATACATAGATTTGTCCACCTTTGATAACAATATTTATAACTGTCTTATCTATGCAATTTACATATAGTAATATAGTGTTTAACAAAAACTTAAAATATGTTAGATGCTATTTGTATTTATATGTTATTTTTACCGCTGCAACACTTAATTTGTGGCTGCAGCTCACTCATACATAAACGATATATCTTCTTTGGAAAATACGCTTTATATTCTGAGGAGATAAAAAAACATCGCTACAGCAAACCATTTTAAAATTCCTATCACTAATAGGAATTAGCAGCGAACTTTAGAAAAAGGGGCGAGCACAAAAAACTCATGGAAAGGTCGCAGTATCACAGGTTTTTCTGCTTGAAAAAGCCTGTCTTTCAATAGTAGTAATAAAATAGATGCTATTTTTAACCGACTTCAAAAAGAAGAAGGTTCTCAATTTTTTTTTAGTTTATTTATGTCTGTTATCTCATAACTTTGTCAGTTGTAAACCGATTTGGAGTATTCTTTTTTATCTGTAAGCATGTACTTACAGATTGCTACCATAGAAGTTTTATTAAAACCGATTAAGTAGTTTAGTTTTGAATTCAAAATAACAGGGTTTGCCACATCATTGGAAATACAATCTTACTTATGTTGTAGGACATCTAAACATGTATTTAATACCTGTCTATCGCGAGTTTGACTTGTTTGTGGTAACACAGGTAGTCTTTCTTTCTACTTAGGGTGGACTTATGTTACGTTTACTATCAGACGGGCCGTATGCTTGTTTGCTATCATAGTACTATAAAAGAAAAAATATATAAGTAATAAAAAAAGTATATTCTGTTTCAATGGAACTTAATGAAAATGTAAACAAGCGAATAATTGACCCTACCATAAAACTTCTGATGTTCGATAGTAGTACATATTAATAAATCGATTAATTGATCGAATGTTTAGATTTATTACAAATTGATGATGATGATGACGTCATTTCATCATCATCATCATCATCATCATCATTTCAGCTATTATCCGACCACTACTGGTCATAAGTCTCTCCCATAGACTTCCACAAATTTCATTTGGTCTTTCTATTTTTTTATACCACAGGTGGTAGACGAATATACACCGGTTACTGTAACCTAGTATTATATTAAAGTCGTATCCTATAAATACCTGCAGTATCAGGTGCATTTAGCGCGCGTTGCTGACCCTGAAGGCATTTCTTTATCCCTATTTTGAAGAACCCAATGCTGTAGTCTTGATAAAATCTCGACAGGTTTAAATATTATATATTCTATGTCTTAATCACGAACAGTACAGTATAGGGGGGAAAGGGATTGTTAGTAATGGAGACTGAGAATCCCATTGCTAGAAATATACCCAAACAGGTCGACCTTTTCGCGGTTCTCCCTGGAAACTATCATGGTTAATACCTGTTGAATTCATCATGATGGGCTAACTGGCCTGTTTTCATTCTCATCAATCACCCTTCACTGGTGCTCCGCCAGTGATTGTAGTAGGTGGGTTACCATTCTATTTTCACCCATTTAAAAAAAAAGACAGTACAGTATAAATATCACAGAATGCACTATGACACCCACTGTACCCATCATGCGTCATCATATTTACAAGAAATTTTATAGCCAATTTTGAAAAAAGTAAATCTATCTCTTCGTCCACTTCGTCACTGAAGGTCGTGTCCTTGAAAGGTGTCTGTTGCCTCTCTTATGACGTTACTCCATTTCGCATGGTCTTCAGCTTCTCGCAGGGTAGCTGAGCAATTGTCAGTCCCGTAACGGCGGCTACTTGGTCCGACCATCGACTAGGTGATTGTCCGCGTGGTCTTTTTCCCTCTATCTTGCCTATAACCATTAGCTTGTCCAGATTGTCCAACTGTCGACGGGCAGTATGACCGAAGCATCCGAGAATCCTCCGATAGCAGACTGTCGGAAAAAGTAAATAAGTGTGATTTATATTTTTACTAGCATCTACTCGCGACTCTGTCCACGTGACCGGGAAATATTTACCGACCGGGATGAAAAGTGGTCTATATCCATCTTCTCAAATAATCTGTGTATACTAAATTTCATAGTGATTGATTAAGCCGTTAAGTTTCTTTTTTTATGCAACTTAGAATAGCAAACAAGCTGATGGCCCACCTGATGGACATTGGTAACCGTCGCCTATAGACACGAGCAGTACCATGGACATAACAGAGTACCGTTTCGCTCATGATACCTCCAACGCGTTGCCATTTCTGAGGACTAAGATGTTATTCCTCTGTACTCTGCAAATTCACTGCTATATCCCACCCTTCAAACCGAAACACAGCCATGCAAATAACTGCTTCACGGTAGAAACATGAATTGGACAGACGTTCCCAAGCAAATGACTTTTGTACAGTCTCCTTATGGTATGCTATGAGGTAACAAAGAAACAAACAAAAATACTTTCACATTTATAATATTAGTAAGGATTAAAATTATTTGAAACTTCCGCAGTGTTTTACATCGCAGTACTGCTTAATTTTTATTTTGCCTATAAGTAACAGTTCTATCACGGTGCAGTTAAATGCATCCGTTGCTCTGTCTGATAACATATCTCTTATCTGTATTGGAAACCTCAATACAGTTACGCCGGTTTCCAATAGCTTCTCAGTATCCGTCGATCGAAGCCTGCGCGCGCGCATAGTGGGGGCGAAAACAGATTCTCCCACCAATCGCGCCAGTACCTTCGCCGCGGACCGCGAGTGGCGCGCGTGTCGTGTTCGAAATTTAAATACAAATCCGATTCGAAAAACATTCCGTTCCACATAATAAACATATCGATAACGTTCTACCCTCGGTCTATCCAATTGTAAAGTGTTCACCCGTGTTTCCGTGTATGTGTTACAGTGTACGTGATCAGGTGTTAGTTTCCCAAACAATGTTGATGTGCAGGCACACGTATGTCATTGAATGAAACGCGTTAGCCAGTTGCAATCGGCGAAAATGTGACTGTTAGGCCGCTTTACACTGGTGTTTTTCTCATACAAAGATGGCTATAAACTATTGATTTATAATGTTAACAATGCGGCTGTTTAGAAGGATTACGCTTGTGCTTGTGTGCGTATTTGTTTTGGCGTTGTCTGTAGCGAGATGTGAGGATTCCTCGGAGGTGGTACCAGAATCGGAGGGCGTAGTGGGGAGTGATGACCAAAGTGACACACGGAAGGATGTGAAAACTGGTCTCCTGTCAGGTAAGTCTATCAACTAATAAGTATGAGGTTTCATATGGATATCAAATCTTTATCCAATTCTGGGGCTAATCTTGTTGTGTCTTCATCAGTAACTGTGTTTTGGTGAATAGCCTCACAATTCTAGGTATATTTTGAGCTTACAACCCTGAGTAATGAGATTCGAGTCAATTTAGAAAAAGTTCTTTCTCTAAATTGGCTCGAATGCGATTCCAGATTCGAATTTGGGGCTTTGTTTGCGCAAATAAACGTGCCTATCGCTGCGCCATAAAAGTAACTTTGGGTGCACAAGAATGAATAATAAGCCATTCAAGTTCCAAATCTGTTTATTCTACACCAATCTAAAGTTTTTGTTCAACGCAACACATTCAAGTTGTTTAAAAAATCAAGACTTTCTGATGTTCAAGGTACTGTTTATGTGTACAAGCGACGATTATCGCTTTACACTGGGTGTTTGTCAACGTGTTTGTCATTCTAAATCGTAAATGATCTTACAATAACGAATCCAAATGCGAAACTTTATGCCCACTTTGAATAAGAAGCAAACAAAAGATGTTATAAAAACTCGAGCCAAAGGTTTGTTACTGCCTATCTGCCTACATAACAGTTTATAATCGTCCGGGTTATTCATATGTCAGAACGTCTTCCATTACCTATTTATTATCAAAATATAGTCTTGATTGTTATGTCGACATGAACTGTACCTACCTATTGCATGTCTGTAGACGGAATACAGTCAAACCAGTTTTTTACTCGCTATTTGATATCATGAATATTAATTTCGGTTTCTAATGAATGATTTATGAATTCTAAATATATATATATATTTTTTGTATATACGTGGGTTTACAATGCGATAATCATTTTAATGATGATGATGGCGTGTCAGCCTTTAACTGGCCACTGCTGAGTATAACCTCTACCATAAGGGGGGTTTTTCCAGTAGTTGCCACTTTTAGCAGGCGGGTTGGCAACTGCAATTAGGTTTTTGGTCCTATATAAGAAGGACGCTGCTGTCCATGCCTCCACTGTAAGCTTTCTTAGTCGCCCCTTATGACACCTCAGGAAAGGGTGGCCTACTCTATGTAGGGTCCTACACGGATGATGATGATGACAATGCGATAATCAGTCTTCAATATTTTGTATTATTTAGGCTTTATTCAAAAATATCCTGATGTTTATATATATGTACCTATATAAACCTGTAATTATAAAAATTATAATGTAAAAATTCAGTACATATTGGAATCGATTCTGAGGCGGCACTTCTCTAAAATTTACTATTGGAGGGTTATTTAAACGGGGTCGCCACTCAATAAAGGTTCTTGAGTGGCGACCTCGTACGGGCAAGCGCAGTGTAGGACGACCCCCATTAGAAGTGTCGACCTCAAACGTAATACTGGGAGTCATTGAATGCAGGTGGCTTAGGACCGTTCTTTATGGCAGTCTACGGATATACAAGTATATATGTGGGTTCACGAGTATATGTATATATATACATATGTTTAGCAGTGGACGGATAATGGCTTAGATGACGATGATGATGATGAATTAAAATTTAATTTGACATCACAGCGATATCTTTATTGTAAAGATCAATATGAACTCATTTTCTAATAGATTTAAGTTTGTAATAAATATTGTAATTTTAGTATATGATGGCACATAAAACAGTAATTTTACAAAATTATCGTATTAAAATTTAGAGTTAGGTTTAGAAAATTGGCTCAGGATCAGAGGCAGGCGGATTAGCAACCCGCCTGCCAAGCGTGGCAACTACTGGCAAAATCCTCCAAAGGGAGCGGCTTATGTTCAGCAGTGGACGTTTAAAGGCTGATATGATGATGGTATTATGGCCAAATTATAATTTTAATTGTAACATTTTTTTTTTATTTTTTCTGTTTTTAGTAAAGCAGAGAAAATAAAAAATTAATAATGTACTTTATTTATATAAACATAATGTCTTGTTTACAATCAATTCAACGTATTCAAATATGTACACACAATGAATTCTAAAATTTAAAAGCGGATACAACCAGCGATTTTATGTTTGCTTTATTACCTATATAACTGTTACCTACGGCTGTGCCCTTGTGTGTTAAATAAGGATCTATCTAGACAATTTTAATTCAAATCCATTCATTCGTTTAGGCGCATTTGGGTAACAAATATTCCAACATCTATACAAGCTTACTGTCCGACTCGACCCACTGAAACTGCGTAGAGATGTTGCACCTCTGTGCATCTTCTACCAAATTTATCATGGGGAGTGCTCTGAAGAATTGTTCGGATTGATACCTGCTGCTGATTTTCACCATCGTACAACCCGCCATAAACTAAAATTTCATCCAAACCATCTGGACGAGTGGCGGTCCTCTACCGTGCGTTTTTCAAGGCACTTTCTCCAATGCACAACCACTCTTTGGAATCAACTTGCAGCAGCAGTATTTCCGAACCGATACGACAACATAACCTTCAAGAAAAGAGCATATTACTTTTTAAAAGGCCGGCAGCACATCTGTTATGCTGCTGGTGTTGTGGGTGATCATGGGCGGCGGTAGTCACTTACCATCAGATGAGACGCATGCTCGTTTGCCCCCTGTGTTGTAAAAAAAAAGCGTTCACACTTACAATAATTAGAACCATTGCTAATTACATTTTTATAATGATGAATTTCAAGTTCGCCCATTTTAAATGTCATACGATAGTTGCACCTAACTAGTGATCGAATAAGTAGATATTTAGTAGTATTTCCCATTCCGAGATGGTATTCAAGGAGAGACGTATCAGACATTCAATTCTATTGTTTTATTTACAACAATTTTGTATTATCGTATTTGTATTGTTTAGGTATAAATTTTAAAATGTTTACACCAGATTCGATAGATTTTTTTTTATACAACTTAGAATGGCAAACAAGCTGACAGCCCACCTGATGTAAAGTGGTAACCGTCGCCCATAGACATGAGCAGTACCATGGACATAACAGAGTATACTGTTTCGCCCATGATACTACCCACGCGTTGCCATTCCTGAGGACTCAGGTGTTATTCCTCTGTACCCAGTAAATTCACGCCATATCCCACCGTTCAAACCGAAACACAGCCATGCAAACACAACTGCTTCACGGTTGAAACACGAATGGGACAGAGGTGCCCAAGCAATCTTTTGTACAAAGTCTCTGGTATAGAATAGCCTGACTGTCACTTGTTATTCTTAATAATTAGGTATATTTGTTCAATAGCTGAGATTTCCGAGTTTTATTAATTTCACGAGAGGCTATATAGCAATTATTATACATTTCTATTCCATTACTAGTCGTTTCCCGCGGCGTTGCCCGCTTCTAACTATGTAGTTCCCGTATATCATTCACATTGGATGTCTTCATGAATCCGGTCTTATATTGTATTATATACTTAAATGATAGTTACGTACCTAATACCTTCATAAAATTTCAGCCAATACAACTGATCGTTTATTTTATAGCATTTTATATGCGATTCTTTAGATTGATTTTCTTTTTTATTTATGAACCGATTGAAATAAAACAAACACTAAATGTTAAGTGGAGCAAACCGCAATGCATTAGTGAAAACCGCGTTCAAGTCGGTTAAGTCGTTTCTGAGATTAGCATGCATAAATGTACAGACAAACAGACAAAAAATTTAAAAATTGCGTTCTTTCATAAAGCCCCCTATAATAGTTTATCTTATATATCTTCTATGTACAGATAGCGACCTGTTACGATTTTATTATATATGTATTGTTTGTGACGTACTATTGTTTAAAATTTCTTTTCAACACTATTTATATAAAAAAACAGCTTGTCTGTTAGACTGTTGGCATTTTGTTGTACCTATATATACTGGATTTTATTATAAATGTGGTAGCTAAATAATCCAAGGATATAGACGTAGGATATCAAAAGTTATATTACGTAAGATTGTTCTTAGAAACTAAACTTGTTTTTGACGCCCGCCCGCTTGAATAAGTACATAAAATATCCTATGTGCTAAGTTTGGATATAAACTATCTGTGTAAGGGGAAAGGGATTGTTAGTAATAGCGTCTAAATTCCCCATTACTAGCAATATACTCTATCAGGTCGACCTCCACGTGGTCCCCCTGGAAACTATCGTGGTTAATTCAAATGGAATTCGTCACGATGGGCTAACGGACTCGCTTTCATCATCACCTATCACCGTTAGCGGAGGCGAGGTTACTATTCCATTATTATTTATTAAAAAAAAACCTATCGGTGTACCAAATTTCATACAAATTCGTCCAATAGTTTTTGCATGAAAAAGTAACAATTATCCATCCATTCATCGTTACAAACTTTCACATTTATTATAAATATATTAATAGAATTAATAAAAAAATAAACTAAAACTGAGAATCTTTAACTTTTAAAAGTCCTTCAAAATAGGAGTTAAAAATATTCATTACGTTTACAATCAAGTTTTTACTTAGTTAATTTAAAAAAAACAACTGTCTTATAAATATTTAACAATAAATATATTTTCGTACGCCCTTTTTTGTCGTTAAGGGCCAACTAGTCGCTTCCTTCATTCATATTTGTAATGCGTACGCAACTTATGACTTGTCAGTCAACAATAAACAATCCATGGAATTTATAAATACCTACGTGATAAATTAATTGTGTACCATTCTAGAAATCAATTACTAAATGGCATTTTTACGATTAAGTAAGCGACAATTAATTGAATCTTGTTACGTTACTAGTTTTCCCTCGCTGCTTCGTTGCAAAATAACAAAAAAAAACTGTATAAAATTTGGAAATTTTACACACTTATGAGCTTTCTAAATTCCTTTCTTTTTCTTTCTAATTCACCTACGCTATATAAAGATCCTAGCTGCAAAATCTCAAGATTCTAGATTTAACAGTTTAGGCTGTGCATTGATATAATGTCAATTGATAGAACGAAGGCGAAAGGGATTGCTAGCAATGGGGCTGCTAGCAATATACCCTATCAGGTCGAC